ACATCAAAGGTTCGCGAACCCTTGTTGGCCGTAGCGGCAGCATTTCGCTCCTGCTGGAGCTTCTTAATAGTCTCGAAATCCGCGTCAGACATTTTGAATTATGTAGTTCGCAGCTTCATCCCGGTTCGAGAGGACAAGGGGTGCTCGGAGCGTTATCGTTGCGCATGGAGAGTTGGATGGTTGATGGGTAGTCGCAAAATTAGTACGCCCTCCTTGACGAAGCTTTGCTACGCTGGAGGCGATCTTCTCCACCCGAATTTTAGCCGCTTGCCTAGAGCGATGCATGTGTCCGCTTACCCAAAAAGGAAATTGGTCAACAATGCTTTGGAGATTTTTCCGAGTATAGGCCTCTTCTTAGCTGTTATGGCAATTATCATATGCTTCATTGAGTTCGAAAACCATCAATTGGTCAAGTTTATAATAGGCAAAGCTACCGGGACTTTGATGTTTCCAGATCGATGATTGAAGTGACGCTAATATGTACCGGCCGTATGAGATTGATGTTGTATATCCCAGAGAGCAGAACCGTTCCTTCAGCTCCTCTCTCTTACAGTAGAGCATTCCCATATCTTGAAACTAAGAGGATACCACCGAAACCGCTGTACTGCTGGATTTCTTCACGAAGTACGCAGCCTCTTTGATCTTCTCATTTGCTTAACCTCTTCAACTCCTTGCTCATCCTTTGGAATGACAATCGGGCTTTCTTCCTTGACCTCAGTGTTGCTATCAGTTATAGTGATCATCTTCTTGGTCCTCTTAAGGGTGTGTTCTTGGGAGGATCCCACCTCTATCTTAATCACGGTGGGCTTGTCTTCTTCCTTCGAAGCTTGAGCCGCAAACTCTCTCAGGTCAGCAGTAAAGAGAACTGAATGGGCCCAACCGGCGTAAGGTCCCCACAAGTTTCGGAAGTGATCTCCTACAGCATCATACATAGCCTTGTTGAGTGTCTTTACTTTTGACTTGCCGAACTTGTAGTCCCTTTGAGCAATTTGCCAAACGTGGGTATCAACCGGGACTGCTTCTCCCCATCCAAGACCCATCAGACATACGCAGTCGGCAACCTTTGGTCCAACACCTTTCAGTGTTAAAAGTTGCTCATGTGCTTCTTTGTAAGTTGCATGTTGTTCTCTGGGTACCGGTGTTGTATTGAAGCCTGGGTGGTCAGGATTTCGAAGGCTTTCCAACCAGGTATCAGGCTTCTCCTTGGCAACAATCCTTGCTGTTTCAGCGATATACTTGGCACGATAGCCAAATCCTAAAGCTCTGAGGTGAGCCTCCACGCTGTCACCAGTCAAAGCTTGAGGGCTTGGGAAGTCATGAAAGGCTTCGTCGCCAATATAGGCAATAAAGGGGCCGTAATGCAGACACAACTTGTGCACCTGACACGATGTCAACCTCTAAACGTGTATGGGTATGTATATAACTCACCATCTGTGATATGCGTGCGATGTTGTTGTTGCTGCTACATATGAAACCTATCAAGGTTTCCCATACATCTTGGTTAAGGATGCGAACACCTTGGAACTGCGGTGCCCTTTTCCGAAAGTTTGAGTCGAGCTCTGACCACTGCTTATATAGAGATTCAAGGCCTATGTCTAAATTGAAGTAATGGCGTAGAAGGGACTCTGTATCTTTGGGTTCTGACGTCGTGGGATTAGGGGCTGGGTATGTGACCCTATAGTGCAGGTGGGTAGAATCCTGCTTTAAGTGAAGAAGTCTCCCGTGTAAAGTGCAGGTCCTAGAATATTAAGGAAGTTGAGTAATTTGCTATTTCGGAAGTTGCGCTATGAACTTACCACTCATGATTGATCTTTTGCCATCTAAAGGACTGCCCACATCGCAATGTGGTGTTGATACAAAGCTCCTTCAAAGTGACAGGCAGCTTTTGCCATTCCGTTTTCCCTACAACAAGAGACATTGAAATCGATAGGATAAATCCGGACTCGAATTTTATATGAATCGAGATAAAAATAAGATCAGATGTAGAAACAATTAGTAGAATAAGACGAAACGGTTGGTAGGTCGAGAAGAAACTCTTTGCTTTTATGATGTAATTAATTGGTTCTACGGAACCTCAGTGGCGCACTGAAAGTTTATTACCCCCTAAAACTTCGCAGTAAAAGGGATCATCCTCACAATTTACTACTCGAGGAGACTATAAGTCTAAAAATACCTAGAAGAAGCACCACCAAGAGTTCAAAGAGGAGATAGCCTTTTCATTTGTTTCATTTTCCGACTACTCATACAAGCATGTATACGTATCTGGCTAAGGTCTGAATCTAACTGGTAATAATTGAGAAGCTCCAAAGCAACCCTGTAGTGCTGAGTTTTCGCAAAGTCAGGCCCATTCGGATTCTGCGCTAAGCCAAAGACTTACTAACGCTAGCGTCTCCTGGCAAAAAAAGCTCCAGCCTCGCGCGACGTCTACCAGCTATTTGAAATTGGAATCTTGTTGCAGTTTGAATCAACGACTCCGCCTGCTAACCATTCACACTTAACAATTTCAGAGAGTTTGCATCATCTCTGAAGTCACTTATCAGTACTGCCAGTATGAACGGTGACAGTTATTCTTCCCGGGGTAAGTTTATTCACAATTAGTGGTCTCATCGCGTCGCGTCGCTAACCCTTTCATCGCAGACGGGCGTCGGGGAGGACGAGATTATCCCGTAAGTGTACAATCCTACATCTAAAGCATGATTGACTCTAACGTTACCTAGCCCAGAGGTGATAGAGGTGACAGAGGTGACAGAGGTGACAGAGGTGACAGAGGTGACAGAGGTGACAGAGGTGACAGAGGTGACAGAGGTGACAGAGATGATCGTCGAGACCGACACCGAGGAGACCGGGACCGTAGACGTTCTCGCTCGCCAGACCACCGAAGCCATCGACGAGGTGAGGGCGATGCCGATGCCTACTCTTCCAGCCGAAACCACCGTGATCGCGAGCGCGAGGATAGATACTCGGGCCGCGAGAGACGAGGTGGCGAACGTGAATGGGACCGCGACCGAGGGTCTTCCCGTCGAGATGCCAGGCGCGACGACGACGAACGACCAAGCAGGCGAGAGCGAGACCCGTACGACGATCGCCGCCGTGGAGGAGGCAGGGACCGACGTGAGGATAGATTCCCCGCGCCTCAGGAACGTCGAAGCGCAAGCCCGCCTCCAAAGAAGCGAGAACCAACTCCCGACCTGACAAATATCGTGTCTGTTCTCGAGCGCAACCGTCGCCTGACACAGTGGGATATCAAGCCTCCAGGCTATGACAATGTTACGGCCGAACAGGCTAAGCTCTCGGGCATGTTTCCTCTTCCTGGTGCTCCTCGACAGCAACCTATGGACCCCAGCAAGCTCCAGGCTTTTATGAACCAGCCTGGGGGACAGGTCACAAGTGCTGGTCTCAAGGCGAGCAACTCTCGCCAGTCAAAGCGACTTTTGGTTTCCAGAATTCCTCCTGGCACAAGCGAGGATGCGCTCATGGCATTCTTCAATCTGCAACTTAACGGACTGAACATCATCGACACCACAGACCCCTGTGTTTTGTGTCAATTCTCCAACGACCGGTCATTTGCCGTTATCGAGTTCAAGGATGCCCCTGAGGCCACTGTTGCACTGGCGCTGGACGGCATTTCTATGGAGGCCAGCGATGCTTCGAACGGCGTGGATGGAGTACACCGTGGTCTTGAGATTCGCCGGCCTCGCGACTACGTGGTGCCCGCAGTGACCGAGGACGTTGCTTATGACCCTGAGGTCGTCTCTAACGTGGTTCCGGATACTGTCAACAAGCTCAGCATTACCAACATCCCACCTTTCTTGACAGAGGAGCAGATCATCGAACTGCTTGCAAGTTTCGGCAAGCCTAAGGCCTTTGTTTTGGTCAAGGACAGAGGAACTGAAGAATCTAGAGTAAGTACAGTGGGCTTTCAAAAATATACATACTAACATTTGTAGGGCATTGCTTTTGCCGAGTACCAAGACCCTGCTGTTTCCAACCCTACCGCTCTTGATACCCTCAACGGTATGGATATTGGAGGTAAGCAGATCAAAGTCAGCAAGGCCAGCATCGGTCCCACCCAGGTTGCCAACTTCGATGTTGGTATTACTGCTATCAGTGGTCTGGCTTCTCAGACTGCCAATGAGGTTGAAAGCAGCCGTGTACTGCAGCTCCTCAACATGGTTACTGCCGAGGAGCTCCTAGACAATGACGATTACGAAGGTACGTGGCTTTTTTCTACTTACGCGAGTTTGTTCTAATTATTTGTTTAGAAATCTGTGAGGATGTTCGAGAAGAATGTTCCAAATATGGCAAGATTCTCGACGTCAAGGTTCCCAGGCCTACAGGTGGTAGCAGGCAATCTGCTGGTGTGGGTAAGATCTTTGTCAAGTACGAGCACACCGAGGATACAACAAAGGCTTTGCAGGCTCTTGCAGGACGCAAGTTTGCCGACAGAACTGTTGTGACGACATATTTCCCAGAGGTAGGTTCTTGGATTTTCCAATTTTATTCTGCAGTTGCTGACAAGATGCACAGGAGAACTTCGATGTTGGCGCGTGGTAAGATTATACTTAATATCGTTCCATTAAGACCAGACCCAGAAAGTTGTACACTGGTTATCTTGGTTATATGGATTGAAGGGGCGGGAGTCTTCCATCGGTGTACGGAATCGTTTCAATTGAAAATGTAAAACAAAGGACATGACAAGCATCAGGCTCATTGAATTTACTACGTCGTGAGATGAAAAGGTTTCTTTGTACGCCAAGAACTACAAGTATTGGCTTACAATACAGCCATAGCCTCGCTGCGTGCAGGCTCATTATTACAAATATGCTTGTCGCATGTAATCAAGTGCTTTCTGGTCAAAAATGAGTAATGGAGTGTCTGGTATAAATTTGGAACATCTAGCTAGGTAGTTTTGAAAGTAGACATAATGCTAAATAGATCTGTATTCTGTTAGTGCCGATACATAACAGACGGTGCGAGTAAACATTGTAGAAATGACCAGAGATCAGAAGTCCTGTTCATTCATTGAGCCCGAAGACTCTAACATAAGAGGTACCAGAAATAAAGTAAAAAGTGATGTATCATCATGTCGAGGTCGACAGAAGTAGGATGGCAGAGATTGCAGAAAAAGTGACTTACCATATGATTAGTGAATATTGCGCAAAGTCCAAGCAAAAAGCTTTGGATTGATAGGTAGTTGATATCAAGCAAAGAAGAAAACTTTAACCGCGACAAAGAGAAAAGATATGAGAAACGCGAAATTGGCGCCGAGCTCGGACCATCCACGTGATCTCCGTCGTTAGCCAATCAGATAACGCCACTCTGCCCTAACTAAGCGGTTCGTCAATTTTCCTCCCACACGAAACGAAAGACATCCTCGAATCTTGGAAAGTTTCGCTCGCAACTCCGTAACCGATCCTTATCCAGCATCACCACGCCAAACCGACAAGATGGGCCGTCTTCACAGCAACGGAAAGGGCATTTCTGCCTCTGCTCTCCCCTACTCTCGATCCTCCCCTGCGTGGTTGAAGACCACCCCCGAGCAGGTTGTCGAGCAGATCTCCAAGCTCGCCCGTAAGGGTGCCACTCCTTCTCAGATTGGTGTCATTCTCCGTGACTCTCACGGTATTGCCCAGGTCAAGCACGTCACTGGTAAGAATTGAGCGACTCGGCAAATCGAAAAATCGAAATAAAAAATGCTAACACACAAGTCAGGTAACCGAATCCTGCGAATTCTCAAGTCCAGCGGTACGATACCCTAAACGAAGAAATGGATGTGGCGGTCGAACGATACATCTATGACGGAGAAACACCATCTCTTTAATGCCTCTGTGCGGTTGAGACTGACAGAGTGATTTTACAGGTCTCGCCCCTGAGCTCCCCGAGGATTTGTACATGCTTATCAAGAAGGTAAGGAAGTCATGCTGAAATTTCTATATCCTGCGATAATCCGCTAACTCCCAAAACAGGCTGTTGCTGTCCGAAAGCACCTTGAGCGCAACCGCAAGGACAAGGACTCCAAGTTCCGTCTCATTCTCATTGAGTCCCGAATTCACCGGTAGGCTTAATCAGGGCCTTTATTCTGTCGCGCACCAAGCTAACCTATAAACAGTCTGGCCCGTTACTACAAGACCGTCGGTGTCCTCCCCCCCACCTGGAAGTACGAGTCCGCTACTGCCAGCACCATCGTCGCTTAAGCGAACATAAAAACGACGGCTGGCCAAGTTCGGATGGAAGTGATGGTTTCCCGGATCACGGAGTTAGGGACAAATTATGGGGAAAGCTTGCATTTAGAGCCATGATGCTTATGCGCCCTATCTGGGAGGACCGACAGCGAAGTCGACGGCTCAATAGAAAGCTCTTCGATCGCTGCAAAACGCATGTATGCAATGGGTACACTAAACCCGGTGACGATAAAATTCTTAAACCTGAACGCCATCTATGCCTGTCGCTACCAATTGCTTTGCTTCACACAACATGCCATTTTGATGTTTCGCTATCTAGGCAGTTCCTTCCAGCTCTTTTGATTTTTGGATGAGATATTCTCCCAATACTCGAAGAGGATCGTTTGGCCTGTGACACTATTAGTTGCCATTGCCGGTGCACAAGTGTAATTGAGACATACTGGTCTTTTGCCAACTGCTTCATACCCTCCAGCAGCACTCCAGTGACTTTTGTGTTGAGATATCGTCGTGCCGAATCGCCATGCGGGGGAGCTTCGGAGGGTATGTTAAGGCCAACATCTGGATGAGCTGAAGCAGCTCTAGAACCTTGTGCTGGAGTTCCAGTTCGGGCTGGTGCTGGGCTCGGCGCATGAGCAACTGGAGCGGGAGATGACTATGTGATGTCAACGAGGGTGCTATTTAAAGATGGGAGACGAATGCCTGGGTTTGTGAAGGAGGGCGTTATGTCTTCTGGCCACCCAAAGGAGTTCCTAGACATGACCTAAGGTGGAGGTCCTGTGAGAGACCATATATGAAAAGTAAAGACGTACTGCAGGCTGATCAGCAGGCGCATCAGACATCACAACATCTTTTTGAGCTTCTGTTTGCGCTGGGAGTCCGTTGGTGGAAGCGTCGGCCGATGTTGTGATTTGCGGTGTCTCCGCAGCCGGTTCATTCTTGGGGGTTTCGTCTGACATTTTTAACAGTGACGATATATCCTAATTATCGTAATTGAATTGATTGAAGAATGTAGCTGTATGAAAAGAAGGATAGTATTCGTTGAACCGCGCCGGTTGATTGTCGGGCATTGGAGCAAAAGCAAAGGAAAGTGGTATGCGTGGTCATGTGCTTTCGTGTTGCCTGACTAGAGTACCTCCCTTTGTCTGTCGCGTCTCCGTTTTGAATATTTGACTGCCTATGCTTCGACGACCATTTTTATACCCTGGTGGTATCTTATTATTTGTTTTGGCATGTTTGAGTTCAAAACATGTACGCATTTGTGACAAGATTCCCCAAGCCGCAAAGTCAACTCCGTGGCCAAATTCGACCTGACTCTTTGGATCTACCAAACCAGGAGAGACCCTCCAAGCGAGCCAAACGACAGGGATCATCAGAATCCGATAGCGATCAGTCTCTTGATTCTCACGGTGAGTTGTCGCCAAGAAAAAAGTTGATCAATAAGAAAACGACCGAAGACGATGGTCTGGATAGTGGAAATCCCCGGCCTACAGATATAGAAAGCGCATTGCCTCCCGCTGCTGATGGCAAGGAGGCGATCGAAGAGTATGAGGCGATGAAGTCATCGCAAGCGACGGCTGAAGATGATGACGGCGCGGCTGGAAAATCGAAGCCTCTTTGGATCAAAGGCCAGAGTTCTATCTATGTGGATGCTTTCAACCTCGCTCTCGATACTGTTTTGGACGAAGAATCTCACCTGTTCGATGAAAAAGAAAACAACGTCTTTAAACAATGGAGAGATCTAGGGTACGAGGCTCAATATCTGTATGTCTTTCTCTTACCTGTGTCACAGCCCACCCACTCATCTTGAACCAGCTATGTTCGACTGTTTCTCAGGAAAGCTGCATGGTGGCATCGTCATAACCGTCTTGATTACCATAGCGACGTTTTAAATCTCGAATCAGCCATAGCCACATTACAATCGCCTCGTACATTACCACAAAACACCATATCTCCAACACAGAGTCCTATACATGGCATTGAACTTGAAGAGTCCAAACTTGGTAAGACATTCACATTTGCAGATGCATCAAATGAACACATCAATTCAGTCGAAGAGGCTGCATCGCTTCTCAGTCTGGACGAGCTGAAAGATCTAGCAAAGGACGCCAAGATCCAAGGACGCAACAAATCAGAACTTATCCGTTCCCTTGTACGAATGAGCAAGCAACAGGCTGGTTTAATGGCGGTAGGTCTCAGCAGACACAACAGCCGCAACTCGCCTTCCGAGGACCATGAAAACAAAGATGTGAAAGTAATACCCAAGGCGAAACTTCGACGGGAAGACTCGAACAGGGAGCAGCACTTCTTAACCAAAATACTTGGTATTCTTGGCCCTTGCATTCGATTATCACCACTGGCCTTTAAGCTTTTTGAGCGCGTACATCTGGTGTTCTACAGATCGGCCCAGTGGACAGAGAAGTCTCTCACAACAATTATTCTCGCCAAAATTGCACGACGCCATTTTCCCGAATATATTGTTTGTCGGACGTCAACGATATTTTCATCGCGGTTGCACTTGTTAGAATATGAAACCGCCATTCGCATGGAAACAGAAGTCGACAACTTGGAGTTCAGCAGTCCACCTGGACAGGAAGGGCTCAGAATGATGATCGACATATTTGATAAAGTGTATCCCCGATGGCAGACGTTAGTCAAGGAAGAGCAGAAAAAGGAACAGACGGTATATGAGATGGGCGAAGGCACATACCTGAGACGATTCACACCAGGTCATTCTTATACAAGGATAGTCCACAAAGCAGCCCCGATATTTGGAAAGCTCAAGGAGCATCTCAGAGAACACAGTCTTCTTACTGAGCTTCTAGATCAGCGACTTTTCCATCCAGCCAGGCGAGGTGGCTGGTATCAGCGAAAAGCTCTCCTGGAAGAGCATTACATGCCCACTTTGGACCCGGATCCTAAATTTACAGACCCCGAGCAACAGAAGAAGCATTGGAAAAAGATAGCAGTCGCCACTTGTGAGGCTGGTCTACAAGATCCAGACTGCCATCTCATTTTCCATTACGACCTGCAGAAGCGTTTGGTCAAGCTTGAGAAGAAACTGCGCATTCCGCGCCGCTTGCAACACGACTTTGGTCATGTGAACCTCGAAAAGCCCACCGAGCACATAATAGAGGGAATCCAGATCAAGAGGGACATTGTTGCCAAGCCCGGTCGCCAAGCCTCAACAAAGACAATATGGTTTGATGAGCTGGATTCAAAAGAAGAGTGCAGTGTCGAAGAGATGTGTCTCAGCCAGTATCGATCAGAAGGATGGAAGGGATATCACGCCGAGGGTGGAATTATCCGGACTCTATTTGCATACCTCTTCTACGATATCCTATTCATTTACATCCCGAATGTTTTCCAGACTGCCTATCAAACATGCCCATTGGATCTACACACTGATGCTTTTTACCCGTCCAGAGCATCAGAAATCAATCACAGACTTGTTGAAATTGCCAACGGAGAGGCGGCAAGGTTATTGCATGAGGTCTGGGATAGAGAACACGAGAAAAAGACCAGTGTGGTAGGCTTGAACTGGGATTTTGAGATTGATGACCTCGTGGAGCTTGTTGAGTGCTTCGAGGGCAGTGCTCTTGCAGCCGTATGCAAGGTGATGGCTCAAGAATACAGACAGCGGGGTGGAGGTATACCGGATCTCATCTTGTGGCGTATCACAGATACACCAGAACAACAGACCAAGGAACCTGGAAAGGCAAAGGGAGAGGTTATGTTCTCTGAAGTCAAGAGCGCGGATGATCGGCTCAGTGATACTCAACGTCTCTGGATCCATGTTCTTACTGGAGCAGGGGTCAAGGTTGCGCTTTGCAACGCTGTAGCAAAGGAAGTGAAGCAGGATTAGTTCCGTGATGAGGGTTTTTACACTCAGGCTCAATTCCTCGAATGATCTTCGGTGACATTGAGTCACGTACAGCGTGAACAGGGCACGCACCAATGTTTCCAATAAACCGATGTATGCATCTCGAACCTCCCGCTGCCCTGTAATCTTACAATGCGCTTCTAGCCTAGCCAAGTCACGGCAATTTGCCAGTTCTGGAAACATCATACGGACATGAGCAAGGAATAGTCACGAACCACGCTGTTATTGGATGCGCTTTGGTGTTGGAGCCAAAATTAGCAATCGCCAAAGCAGCTTGGAAACTCGATCAGGGGGGCTTGTTCCACCCAGCAGCCTGGTCACAACGGTCTCAAACTCGTTTCTAATCTCAGACTTGGAGCTGAGGATCATCCTCTGGTTTCAGATAGGCGGGAGGCGTCGATTAGGTGTGTCGCCGGCATGGTAGCCAATGGAACGACGGCAACGAGACGGTGTGATGCGCAGGGTTGTCACATCACCACATGCGCATCTCGTCACTGGCGCTCTCGGCGGGTTGCTGGCGATGTGGGCTACTGTTCTAGGGCGTATAGCCTCTCTACTCCGCTGGTAGCTGGACACGATGCCACGAGGAACCAGGCTTGGAAAGAACGGAAGAGTACGCGGGGTAGCTCGGACGCTTTTCACCACTCGGACTCGTGCCATGGGCAATGATTCTAGCGTTCCAAAGGCTTGGTCACCTGGGTGACGAAAGGTGATGAGGCTAGGTTAGGCGCGAAGAAGACAATCTTGTGTTCTTGGGCACGGAAATTTCACACATCTGTTCGGTCACAGGTGGATTTGTTGTTTCCAGTATAGCGTGTACAGGAGTTTCTTGGTGACAAGACATCGACAACTACTATGTACAGCTAGCGCGCTGTATCCCTCGCAGTAGCTGGGTAGTATGCGCCAAACTCATCGACAAGAGTAGAAACGAGAGCGAGAGGGGAGACAAACACAGGCGCAGGCACCAACAGAAAAGGGAGACGCACCTGAAGGCCAGACGCGATGACACGACGTATAGTGCAGGCATTGCCATTACAACAGACGAAGAAAGGACGCTTCTGCATGCCGCTGTCTCCCAGTTCCCTTCAACTCAAAGAAAAGCCCAAGTTCTCACCAACACAAATCGCAATCGTCGACCCACAGTCCTGGGCGCTTAGCATGAATCCAATCATATCAACCAACGCTTGATGGTGGGTGATGGGCTCGCCCGCCCCGGCCAATAACACACTTGATTCCCCATGGCTCGGCGCTTACAAGCCCTGTTCATGGGGCTCCAAGGTCCCGCTTGGACCTGGGTGCTGGGTCGCCAGAGGATCGAAAGTATTCACGCCGCTTTTAAGTCTAAGTCTTTCTAGTGGTTCCAGGGGTGATGAGATATTAGGCCCCCCGGACCCAGCAGGGGGTGTGCCGGCATCCAATTCATTGAAATCAAAGCCTGGTTTTGGTTTCTCACTGCAATTATGTACAGCAAGGCAAGCAATACCGAAACTGTGATGAAAGACAGATTTATGGAGGCTTAAGATGCACAACAGTGGAGGAGAACTACAACATGTCACAAGAAATTGTATGTATCATTTTTCTGCCTCGTCTCTATTTGTGCTGGGCCGCATACGTCCCGCGCCTGCGACCTCAAAGCCGGCCCAGTGGAGTACTCGATTCACGTCTTTGCAGCCCATCACAACAAAGACCGCAAACACGAAAACAAAAACAAACAAACCATGTTCTCCCTCGCGTCTTTCCTCTTCTATTACTTACTTTAATGAACCAAGGCAAAGCAAATCTCCTCAACGGGCTTGTCGAGATGATCTCTTATTAGTTATAGTTGGTGCCTGCCTACTTCATCCCCCCATGTAAAAACCACTTTACAAGGAACAAGGGTTTATTCCTAGGACTAGAACAAAGGGCGATAATAAGGCAGGCAAGTGCGGGGCAGGGTTCTACAAGAGAAGCTTCGAGCTGGCGGCCTGCGAAACGGCCGTCTATGCGGCCCAGATAGACATCGAGGGTATACCCGCCATGCGGCCTGTTCAACCTTCACAGATCCATATAAACAAACAAATAAACATTTTGAAGCCATAAACAAACAAAACAATTATTTCAAAGAGATTTGAGGTTTGTGACCAGACCGTTGACAATCTAAGTTGCTTAATTCACATGATTATACGTACCAACCAGTCGGTTTCTAACGCCAGTAGAGCACAAATCACAGCACGCGATAAAATTAATGTTAAACAGCCCATGGCTTTGTGAATTCTTGACTAAAAGCGCTACCACGAGGTGATTCTGTGCCCGGTACACGGGTCCACAACGCTCAAAGCGTTCCCTAATTCTCCCTCCCTTTCACACAACCCCTGCTGGGGTTCTGTATTGTCGAGTAGCTCTGGCTGTCGACTTCCTAGTCGCTGATCTCCATCCCCTCTTCGCTCCCAGCCCCTTCCATATGTGTTGGTATCGTGCTTCTTGGTCGATGCTAAGCCCCCAGGGAACAGCAACTCCAAACTGATAATGAAACTGTTAAAACGCCATCAAACTCCCCCAGTTATACCACCCAAGTAGCTCCGTATCCTTTCATTTCCAGTTCAACTCCTTTCAAGGCGTATCAAATAAGTGTCAACAAGAGAATGATTGAATGGTAAGGGCGACAGTTCTCGCCGCCAAGTGTCGAAGGCCTGCTCCAAGATTTGCCTTATGTGTGTGTGTGTTCCGCTCCCTCATCATTTTTCGGTATATTCTTGATTTCAATGCATGTCTAAACAAAAGAAAAAGTCGTTATGTATTCGAAGGATCGTTAATAGTTGTGGGTCGGTTGAATATGTGATTGATGTAAGTGTTCAGATGATGAGTAGAGGCCAAATGATCGTTGGCTCAGTAGGTCTATTCAACCTTGCGTCTCTTGCCCTTTGGTGCAGGTGCCATTCTAGGAGTGTATGTGACTGTTCTCGTCACCACCTCTCGGATGTGTCGTACGCTGGTCCGTGAAGACTTCTGCTTCTTTTCTAGTAGACGGGCCTTGAGAGCCGCATCCCAGTCAAAAACTGATGAGTGAACTGGCCTGGCGCTGAACGGTGACCGAACAGTGCTTGCACTCATTGGAGAGTCGATATTCGACACACTGGGACTTGGTGGCACCTTCAGGCTGGGGAAGCAGGCAGCGCCGGTGGGAGGTGCAGACATGGGCGCAGCGCAGGTGAATGGACTAGGAGGCGCCATAGGGGCCGTTGCTGGAGGAGTGGGCCGGCCTGATGCCTTGGAGGTGATACTTGAAGCCGATGACGAAGGGGGAGAGGCTTCACGCTTCAAGGAGGGGCTTGTTTCCTCACTGGTTGTCGAATCCGGTAGAGAGTCCGGGGTCGTTAAGCCAGAGCTCGTAGCAGGAGAATTGAGAGCCATGGCTTTGGTGAGGAAATCTGTATAGGCCATAGGTGGGCTGATGGGGGTCTTGAGAAAATCCGGGTCAGGTTTGAAGTTGAACGAAACTGCTGAGATAGGAGTTGCCGAAGTAATCTCAGATGGAAAGGTAGCTGTGACGGGAGTAGTAAGCTTTCCCAGCTTTGGCTTGGTGTGAGGCATGGTGGTGGTTTGAGTTGACCGTAGATATCGAAATTTAGGCTTATTATGGGCGAGTTGAATAAGTATGAGCTTGGTTGAATATGTAGATATGAACCAGCAGCCAATCCCAAGCACTGGGAATTAAGAGTACAGGCAGATGGAAGCAGCGAGCGAACTGACTGACTGACTGACTGGAGAAAAACGAAGGTCAGGGAGTTGGAGAGGGCAGCACCAGATGATTATAAGGAAAGGACTGCGTCAAGTGTTTGGCGCCGAAGGATGAAATTGGAAGAGGTGGGCGCTTGAAGAAAGGAAGGGGTGTGAAGCAGTTGGAACAATGTGGAGCTATGACGGATTGCAAGGGTGAAGGGGTAAACTTGGGAGGTGTGTATTGAAGGAAACGACCCTAGCTGGATGTGTGGATATACGGGAAACAACTAGACGGGGGCCGGGCGGAACAATCACCAAAGCAGCAGCAACTTGAGAAAGAGCAGCACACGACAGACAATAAGAGCAGCGACTTTGACGGGAACACAACATCTACAGGCGCGTACGGAGGTGCAGAACAAGCTGAGAAAGGGTGGCAACTGCAAGAGAAGCGACGCGAATAAGCCAGGGAGGGGTGCAGAGTTGCAATTGTGCTTCACTTTGCTTCACTTTGCTTCACTTTGCTTTGCTCTCTTGGACATTATGAAGCGGGTTGTTCTGTGTATCCGGTCTCTTTCGTCGCCTATATTGTATTGTGCGGTCTGCAAGAGTGGTATGCGAGGATGTGACTGCGTGATCGTCTTAGTGGGCAACGGCGGTTGATGCAGTATGCTTAGCCATGTCACTCTATCTCTGCCAGTATCTTTCCTACCTGGAAACTGCCAATCGGCGGGTGGATGGCGCGCTCTGCTGGTGACAGCGACAAGTCAGGTTGGTTTGTGTCAGGCTCTAGGAACTGACTGGACAACGGACATGACCAACTGGTGGTGTCCTGACAGAATGGCTGCGAGCCAACAGCTAGTTGCAAATTGTGATGGAGATCTCGTGAACTCGCATCTCTTGTAGTCCAACAACACGGGTATTGAAGCGTTGGTAATGGACTTGTTGGTCGGCGGCTCAACAACTGGGATTCCATGGATGGTGTTTAGGAGGGAGGCGCTGTAAAGCTGCTCTGTTCTGTACATAAGTTGCTTGGGCCCAAAGGTTGATTGGGATTGGCTAGTTTTGGCGGTGATAGTCGCGTTAAAAACAGCGGCAAAGGGCTACGCCTACTCGAGCGTAGAGGCAGGGGAGCGGGAGGCAACTTGATTCGATAAAGCCAGGGTCTGTGAGTTTAGTGCTTTGCTTTTTTTATTCTCGGATAGCCCCTAGTCACCTGTCATCCTGGCCCAGAAATCTCCTGTCAGAGACCTGTTTGGTCGCTGTAGCCGTTGCTGGCGCCGGGGATGGCTTCCACTGGCCCAGATGGATGGTGAGGAATGTGATTCGACCAAGACCAGAAGGTCTGGGGAGGCTTTTGCGCATCCTCGGGCTTTACGCAAACTGATCAGTGGTTTGGCTCACGGCGACTCAAAGTACCGAGCGAATAGGATGTCATCCATGGCCAATTCCACGATTATGACAGCGATGAGGTAGGTTTGAAGCTGACGAGTAACGGTCAATGCTTTGCAGTTTGCTTTTCCAACTCTTGTCAGGATGGTGCTTGTTCTTCACCTCTTGCCAGTGTGATCATAATCAATTAGATGGAGGTGAGAAGAGGGGTTTTGGAGGGGAAATGCATCTCATTGTTGAGATGGCAACCCATCATTGGTTCAGGTCGCAACTGCCTCCATCCTTGATCTCGATCAGAGTCTGAGTGCTCAAAACTGGAAACTGCGCACGTCGTTCCTGCCATTGGACAAACCGTCAGGCGAATGATAGATATGGAGGTGGAAGGCCAACTCCAATCAGAGACCACATTTGAAACTGTCAACTGCCATGTTAAAATGCTAAATTGAGATACGAATTGAATAGACCGACCATGGAGCTTCACAATCCAATAAATCGCCACCAATCAACAGCAACTCGTTGACGACTTGCAATACAGCATCAGGGAAGAGATTGGTCCGTTCGAAACCAAATACCTGCTCTCGCCGTTTGTGCGCCATGCTTTGCAGCACGACACGCGCGCGCAAGATAACTACTATAACTTCCAACCATGTATGTATTAACTTGCAAAACTATGGTGTTTACGAAAATTCCTAGCAAAGTTGGCTTCTATCTCGCGGCCTGTCCTGGCGATACGCGAGACAACGATATGGTATACGGACGGAAGCTCTGCTGCAAGTAGCGCGCGTCAATGCGAGGCATACTTGTTGCAGCTACCATCTCTTTCTTGTTGGGAGGGTTGGCCTACTAACTACCAAACGGCCACTAGGCCACACAATGTTCAGACAAACATAGTACGGGGAACACACCATTGGCTCACAAGTCCTCCTATAATAGGCGCCATCGATATTGGTTGCCGAACTAGGGATACTTGCACATGGAAACATCGTGAATCCGCTTTGCGGACCTTTCTAGGGGACATGACTTCCAAGAGTAGGTTGAATACTTGCTTCTGGATGAATCCAGACCTGGTCCACCCAGCGCATCATCAAACATAGAGATCATACAGAGTTGTCCACATATTGTGGGAGCTGGCGACGCATTCGCATCGTTGCTGTTGTTTCCTATGCCGCGCGCTCAGTAATTCATACTCAACGAAGGTCTATTGGTGGTGAACATTTTTTGAGAAATGTTGATGTTTTGTTACAACACCCAAAATAGATTCAAACATGAGACAGGTGTCTATTCCGGCAGATTGGTTGAAGGGTAGAAAATTAAAAGCAGCCGCCTTAGAAATCACATATGTCAAGAGTCAGAGTTCAGTTGCTGTCTGCTGTTTGCTGCTTGCTGTTTGCTGCTTGCTGCTTTCATCAAGCCTGACCTACGTAGAGTTTTGATTGTTCCTGGAAAGCTCAACGTTGCACTCTGTAATGCACAGTGTGATTGAGAAGACAAGGCAAGGTGTCTGCTGTAAGCCATTGCAACCCTGTTTATGGCACAGAGCTCGCTCGCCCCATACTTGTCAAGTATATCGTTTAGTCTGTTAGTTAATCAAAGACGTAAGACCATTTCTATTTCGCCTCGAGAGTGATCGATAGAGATTGTAACGTTATAACGTCCTGAGAGCTTGTGTAGGAATTCGATATCTGTCCAGGGTAGTAACCCGGCCGTGTATAACGTGAAAGAATCACTAGCTCGATTCCTGTATAGAATCATAGTCATGATGATAGCATAAGTCACAGAAAATTACCGCGTTTATTTGTAGTATGGTTAATGTTACCAATGCATCATATTAACGATTGCTAGATAACTGTCTTCCTCTCAAATTGAAATTATGGGAACAGTCATGATGCATGGCTCAAGCCACAGCTGTCTCGGATACAGTCAGCCCATGACCCGCACGCGTACAGTGCCAGCAACAACTTGAGAGAGCGTATTTGGTTCAATAAACTTGTGTATCTATATGATGATACGGAGACATAAGAGAAAATTTATGAATTCCGACATTACAGTACTACAGGTTCACTTATCAAAATGATGACCGAGACACAGCGCCACAATGGAACCCAAAGCCACAGAGAGCCGACCAGGTACAACCACGCCTTTCCCCTGTTTGTTTTGCTACTGTCACCTGTTAGTCCAATAACCAGCTCATGTCTCAGCATCCGTCGGCCTAAACCTGCCTAACATAAGCCCTGCCGCAGTTGCCTCTCAGCTGGAGCCTGGGCCTGGTTGTCGCCTGCCCACATTAATCATCAACCGCGACTCTGTTGCCTTTTACGGCGTAATCGCGCCTTCTAATCCATCTCCCCCACCGTACCGTCCCGTCTACCCGCGCTACCTAAGGTTGATGCCCGGTCGGACAGTCCGGTTAACTGATGACTGAGGTAACTTTTGTTCGCATAATAATCTTGAACTTGTTTACACTAAACTTGCTTTCAGACTTCTCTTTTCTTTTATTCTAAATCCGAAACAAACTTGCCCCTCCCTTTACGCTTTGTCCAGTGCATACGCTGTATTGCATGCCCATACAGTACCCAACCTCAAGACGCGAGAGTCAACTCAGATCAACTAACTAGCGTTTTCCTGCCTATCCCCGATTTAACGACCCTGGCTCCGTCATAGGCACCCCTCTTGGCCTCACTTGACTCTGACTCGACCCTCCGTTACAACTCATTACATACCAGACCCAAAGTACTGCACCAACGCTCTCACAGTACAAGCAGCACTTTCACTGGACCTAGGCTACGTACTGCCTGCACTGCACAAGGCTACATACCTACCACCCGCTGTTGTTAGTCACCCGCCATCAAACGCCAACGCCACCTTCGATTTCTGCTCCTTATCCTCAGACATACTTCCCATCCTCGTTCTTCCCTTAATATCTCCCTTCAACCGCCACGATTCCCCCCACCACGAGGAAGCGAAAGGCTGCTGAGGCGACGATTACCTCTGCCAACAGAGACGAAGTACCCAACAAGAGAGTCATCGCCTCAGCTGCCCTCTCAGACAAACACGCGTTACCTCCAACTCCAATAACAACTGTTAGCAACCCCATGGATTCTGACGAAGAATACATGTCGGCTCTCTCGACCGACGACGAGATCATGCAAGACGACAGCGGCGACGAGATTTCAGCAGGAGATGGTACGACTTTTGATACCCCAGACAGCCCCTCATGTCCCATCATGACAGTTACTAACGACACCGATATCACAGACTTTGACGATGAAGAGTTTGACGAGCCTGATCCCGATTTTGGCCTTGCCAAAGACGTCGAAAAGAGGAAGAGAGCTGCCAATGTGGTGTCATACAAAGTTTATGAACCAAGCGATATCCAGAGCCAACAGGATGACATGATTGGCGAAGTCAACATGATTCTAAACATGCAGAAGGAGGATGCTGCCATTCTGCTCCGCCACTTCCGATGGAACAAGGAACGTTTACTAGAAGATTACATGGACAGACCAGAAAAGGTTATGGAAGCTGCTGGATTGAGCAGCACCACGTCCAGCTCACCAAAGCTGGAAGCCATACCTGGTTTCGCATGTGACATATGCTGTGAGGATGATGAGGGCCTCGAGTCATTTGCCATGAAATGCGGCCATCGCTACTGCGTGGACTGCTATCGCCACTACTTAACACAGAAGATCCGCGAAGAAGGCGAGGCTGCTAGGATCCAGTGTCCCTCTGACGGATGTGGTCGCATTCTCGACTCGGCCTCGCTCGATGTTCTCGTTACTCCAGTGCTGGCGGGCCGATACCAAGAGCTTCTCAACAGAACATATGTCGAAGACAAGGACAACTTTAAGTGGTGTCCTGCCCCAGACTGCCCCAACGCCCTAGAATGCGGCGTAAAGAAGAAGGATTTGGGTAAAATCGTCCCCACCGTCGAATGTCGATGCGGTTACAGATTCTGCTTTGGCTGCCCAAACCCAGATCACCAACCGGCCCCTTGTGATTTGGTCAAGAAATGGTTGAAAAAGTGTGCCGACGACTCAGAAACTGCCAACTGGATTTCGGCCAACACCAAGGAATGCCCAAAGTGTAACTCGACCATTGAGAAAAACGGAGGCTGCAACCATATGACATGCCGAAAGTGCAAGTACGAATTCTGCTGGATGTGCATGGGCCTCTGGTCCGAGCATGGAACTAGTTGGTACAATTGTAACAGATACGAGGAGAAGAGCGGCTCCGAGGCTCGTGATGCCCAGGCAAAATCTCGAACGTCTCTTGAGCGCTATCTACACTATTACAACCGCTACGCCAACCATGAGCAATCGGCCAAACTCGACAGGGATATCGCTCAGAAAACCGAAAAGAAGATGGTCCAGCTTCAGAGTGCTTCAGGCATGTCCTGGATCGAAGTCCAATACCTTAACTCGGCGTCCCAGGCTCTTCAAACCTGCCGGCAAACCCTTAAGTGGACATATGCCTTTGCCTTCTATCTTGCCAGAAACAACCTGACAGAAATTTTCGAGGATAACCAAAAGGACCTGGAGATGGCTGTGGAGAACTTGTCTGAAATGTTTGAGAAGCCCATTACAGAATTGTCTGACCCCAAACTCAAAGTTGATATCATGGATAAAACGTCATACTGCAACAAGCGTCGTGTTATCCTTCTTGAGGATACGGCTGAGAACCTGGCAAATGGTACTGTACCCTCCGAATCCCTCTATACACATCTGTCCTTTCCTTACTTTTCTACATTTTGCTAACTTTCGTATGTGCGTTTAGGTGAATGGAACTTCAATGCAGACCTTTTGGCCGCCACTACCTCTGCGCCTGCTCATCGCCGCTGAAGTGTGGATGCAAGATAATACGATTTTCATCAGAATTTTACATTCTTGTTAAGCAAGGACAGTATTGATAGTCGTGCTAAATGCAGGGAAGCCATGGGCTGAGTTACCAGTCGTTGCCATGTGGCCAATGTGTGGCCAAGATGACTGGCCTACCAACCAGATACTTGTGTTTTACGCAAGTAAGCGCTCGGGTACCCCTGATGTGCAGCATCCGGCTAGGACATTCGGATTTGCTTTCTATCTAGTCCTGCTATGTGACTTCCTATGCATTCGTCCTATTGCCACGATTCTGCGCTACTTGTCTCGACTCACTGTTCCATACATTTATTTCCCTTATCGCCAGTCCTCATCTTCTGTTGCTTCAGAAGATAGAAGAAGCATGAAACCTTGGCGTTGGCCTGTTGTTGGAGGTATTGGCGCGGAGCAGAGAGTTGGTTTCTTGATTGAGCTGCTGGAGCTAGGAAGAACTCGGGTTTAGACTTGTTATGGCATGTTATTATTTCCAGCGGTTCAGGATATGGATTATGATATTCAATAAGCGGGTACGTAAATGAGAACTGCAATCACATAAATCTTCTTCTTTTAAATGTAACGAGTGACTACAGTGTTGCACATTGCTACACGTGAAACCGAGGAGAGGAAACTCTGAACAATGCGTGTTTATGACTATACGAATATCAGTCAAGATCACCAGCTATGACGCCACTGTACTTGAGTCCAAGTTGGGTATTATTCTAACTAGAAGCTCGGAGGCAAGATAATATTGCCAATGCCTATCTGATATTCTACCTAATCCCTTCTAGGGCCTCCTCCATAGTTCAATACACACTAGTTCCACAAGACGCCAGTTCCATCCATATTCTGATCTCTTCGTACAGCTCGGCAAATCGTGCCGTAGCCACATGATAAAAAAGGGGGTTAAAAGCAAAAAAGGAAGGGGGGAAACGCCCAGTCAATGCTATCATTAGGACAGTTGTCGAGTCAAGCAGCTAGCAAGCTGCAACGCTAAAGGATTGAAGCGAAACCTAGGTTCTATGCGAACGCAAAGCGTGAAAGGTTAAGCTTTTTAGGCGGAAGGTCGATTTCGTCGTCCTCATCTTCCTGGTCACTATCAGGGATGATTTGGTCTTCACTCCCACATGTGTTGAGGTCTGCAACCTCGTCCAGATTGACCTTTGGTAAGGGCACAAAAGCCGGATTGACAGGCACACCCGAGAGGAATTGCCTATCAAGGCTGTTGCGTGGTTTAGGCAGCTTTGGTGACATTGGTGCGTTCATAGCACGAGCACCCAGACGTTGTAAGGGCGTCATGCGCGAAGCAGCTGTCGACGGTGCCGTGGAGGGAGTGGAAGCTACACTAAACACGGAAGAGCGTTGCGATGTAGTCGAAGCAGGTGTTTCTGTCGACTTGGAATAAGAAAACTTGCGAATATCTGGCCGAGCAGGGGTGGAAGAGGTTCGTGGTAGAGACACGGCAGACGAAGGTGGAGGCATAGAGTCGTCAAATGATGATAAGGGGGTCTCGTTGTCCTTCACAAATGAGAGCTGGCTCTCACTTTCGACAGTTGAAGTCTCTTGGCTGTCCTTTTCCACAAATACTGAAATACCCTGCTTGGTCTTATCAGAGGGCTTCCAACCGTCAAAATCGGGCAGTGCCATAAGCGCCTCATCAAGCGAATCGTCGGACAGGAGGTAAGCATCGCTCTTCGTCCGCCTTGGACTCCTCCGTGGCTTGGACACTGGGAAGAACTTGCTCTTCTGTGGCGGCAAAGCTTCATCGAGTCCTGCCTCATTATCCTCACATAAGCGTGCCTTCTTGGGCGGCCGATTGGTAGGATCACTTGATGGGACAGCGGAGAAGTTAGACTTGATGGCCACAGAAGACGTGCGCCTTGTGGTGGTGGCAGTCTCAGTGAAACTGTTGAGCAGGTTGGAGATGGGCTCGGTACGACGCCGGTGAAGTCTTGGGGATGTACGTGTAGGGTTGGCTTCTGATCTTCGCGAGTTGTTTGGTGCGGGCCGAGTTGTTTCATCCAAATATGGTCTGGGAAGCGGGAAAACACGAGGTACCAAGCCCCCTCCAGTGATTTGCAAAACCCTCTGGGGGTCGACTTCGAAGCAGTTGGGGTCCATCTCGCCCATGGGTATGCGACTGTGCCCCATGAAGTAAGAACTGATGGGTTTCATAGTAGGTGGGGGTTGGTCCACGGCACCAATCGCCAGTTGCGAATGCCTTCTCTTTGAGGGTGTCGTTGTTGTGGCGCTAATGATCATCTTCTTCGTGATAGGGTTCATATCGCCCCTGGCGATGGTGCGAGCCGTCTCAGGCTCTACAAATGCACCGATAAAGGGCATCTCATCCGCAGTCCGTGTTCCGTCCAGGTCTGTTAGGTGAACCAACTCGCGTTTGGTAGGACAAAACACCCACTGATGCAGGAATGTCAATTCGGCCTGGTAGAATTGTGTCAGGTAATTTTCCGACACCCGCTTGCCTTGCAACTGGACCATGCGCACTATCCGCTCCGGGACTTTAGTTTTGCGAAGCATACGATATGCCGTCTTCAACCCAACGCCTGGTAGTCCATCAAGATAATCGCATCCACTGAAAATAGCCATTCGTCGGAACTCTGTATCAGACCAGCCAGTTAATGAGACTTCCCGACAGGCGCAAAAGTCCTTACGGTTGATCTCAAAGCAGTTGCCATACTGGTCTAGCTTGGTCAGAAGCTTCTTGGCTCCAAAAACGAGGAGGTCCGAGTCGTCGGAGATGATACCGTTGACAAGACCCTGTCGTTCGAGGTACACAAGCTGTGCATCGGCTTCGTAAGGGGCGACAACGTAAGGAATATCGAGCTTCTTGAGTAGTTGGATGAGAGCCGATGCCATTTCGGGAGTGATGTCGATACACTTTTGAAACTCTTGCGTAGCCTGCGCAGGCTTTCCAGCTCGCAATAGTTCCATTGCCACCTTCTTCTTCTCATCTCTTTTCTTTGCTCGGGAATCTTCGGTAGCGGCTTTACTAGGAAGAAAGTCACCATCGAATACCATATATGGTGTAATACCAAAATGACGAAGCATGCGAACACGAGTCATGGCAGCATTCAGGTACCTGTGTATGTGTCAATAACAATTTGTTAGTATACAGAGAATGTATAAACTTACTTCTGAGTTGGCTTGTCTTGACCAAGCTCCAGGGCACAGCAGTAGGCGGCACGATGGAGCCAGCCATACGCGTCGACACCGAACGTCTGGCCATGATACTTTTTAAGCTCAGTCGGTTTCTGGATTGACTTGAGAAGGGGGAGAAGTCCTTGTCAAAAGGTTAGTATCACATAGGGGGAGATGGCTCAAATTATACAACAAGTCATACCAGATACACCCATATTGAACGATGAGCCGCGTCAAAGATGGTGGCGACAAAAGACGGTTGAGCTTTACACTCGCTGCCCCAGAAGGGACTTGGGCAGCTTCAAGCCAACAGAAATTTTAATTGCATATGTCAACAATCGAACATGGGGATTGGTTGTGATAAGATCTGTTGTGTTGTAGTGTACAGACGCGTCGAAAGATTGATATGCACGCGATGCAGGATCGTGCAGCAGGGTTTGAATAGCGATGGCGATACTGTTTAAGCTGACAGACCAGGATAGAAAATACACAGAAATAAGCTGGCCAAACAGTTCGGGGAGCAAATATAAAATCGACAATCTTGTCGGAAGGCACGAGGTGAGGTCCAAGGCCAAAATTGAGGTTTGAAATCGAAACGTCCTAAAGCGGGAGAGATATTTTGGCTAATCCCAGGTGATAGTCAACACCGAGGTCGAGGTAGGTACGTAGCAGGCGAGGCACCTAATTTAGAGTGCCTTCCCCTCCAATCCACTTGCTAGAACGCGACCCCCTGGAAATTACAGGTTCAATGGATGGCAGCCAGCGCGTTGATAGGCGGGCGCGATACTTCATTCCATGAACCACTGTAAACCCCTGGAAAGTTAGTTCCCGCTGCTCCCCTAGCAACTTGAGATCCACAAAGATTTTATCTTGATAATAGCATCAGATCAAATTCCATGGAACTTATATGTGTAGGTAGCTGAGAGTATATTGCACAGGAGATAGAATTTGATATGCTTTATCCAAGCATTATTCTGACACAAAAATATGCTTCTACATATGCAGAACTCTTGTTATAAAGAACATATCATGGTATAATGTCCGCTCTATCATTTAAGGGTCCTTCTTTAACCGACATATATCCGCTACCTTATTGGCTGAGCACCAAAGCTTCCAGACCAGAAGAAAAAATCCTTGCTAGTCACAGCAACGACAGTTCAAAAGGAAGAAAAAAAAAGCCTGCAGCTCTTCATCTTTGTCGCTGAGAAGAAATTCATAAATATTCAACATGCCTACCACGCTTGATAAGACGCGCAAGCAGATCTCAAAAAAGAGAAATGGTGTCATTAACGCCCTCCATGAAAAATCCAGAGACTCCATGCGTCTTCACAAGGCTGGTGTAAGAGATCAGCGAATCGAGAGGCTGGCCGCTGCAAGAAACAAGAAGGAACAACCACTCGGTAAGCTTTACTTGACGAACCCATTTGGTTTATGCAGTATCTAACATGATGCTAGTTGATCGTGTATCTTTCTTTCAGCAAGGCCTGCGTACCAAAGACAGAGAAAGCAATGGCGCCCCAGAGCTCGAAGAAATTCAACGCATGATTCACAAGTGAGTATAACAATGAGTTTTCAAATACATAAACGCTGACTGATGTGACAGTTTTGTTCACCAATACGATGAGGAGTACGACGCAGTCAAGAAGACCCGCCGCCCCGGTCGACCTGCGAGTGTCAAGGAGGACCTTCTCAAAGCCAAGATCAACCTCCTCGAGGAGGAGTACAAGGGTGGATTCAGTAAGTTAATGTGATTTTGCGATACATGCCAAGTTACTGACCTTATTACTAGTCATGCCTGATCTCTTGGACAGCCACAATGTCAATGTTCTCCTCCTTTGGGAGGGCTCTTGGTCGTATCTCACTCAACTGAAATGGATCAAGGTCAACAGCGAAGGTCAGGTTCGGTCTACAGCCTTCCCGTTAGGTGGGACAAACTGAGCACTCTGCACTGAAAAGAAATGACTGGGTAAAAGAGAACTAGCACCATTTGGTAAGCTCACTTAGGCTCCAACAAACTCGACCACCTACATACTACCTCGAGAACACTTGAACACCAAGGGTCGAGAGCGGTAGTATCTCTGGCTATCCATTTCAGGTATGCAGATCAAGGTTTCAGGGACCACACTGGGACTACCAACCACACGACGGGTTTTCAAAATGGCTGCTGTGAGTCATAAAAAACCAAACTTGCCATGACACGTCTTCAGTCATACTGAGTGGAAGAAGTGTTATTGAATGGCCAATTTTGGGGAGCTAAGAAGGGCAAATATGTAACACTTTATTAGAGCTGTCCTGGCCACTGAGCGGTTGGAATCATACGTTACTGGGATCCGTCTAATAGTTTACAAAGAGCTCTGGCTCAACACCCACCTATATACCACATAATGAGATACGAATTCGAAACACTTGAATACTCATCTCGCTCTAAAAAGCTCTTCCTAACGAACTTTTCTTATAAGTGAACCCTTGAAGCATTCCTCTTCGCCACGTGATAGTGATGCCCCGCTTTGGCCGGAAAGATCGTCCAGTCTGGGTTCAGTAAATTGCTAGCTAAGCCCGCCGGGAACTTGTCGTCCCCAAAAATTTCAAGACGAAGCTTTACTTTAGAAGCTTCTATCACTGTCTGTGTACCAACATCACTTGATTCAAATTACCACAACAATACTTGTTTCTTTTACTCTTTCATATAAAAACTATAATTTAATCATCACAATGTTCTCTGCCCGTAACGTTGCCCGATCGGCGCCCCGCGTCGTCTCCCGCCTCTCTGGCGCCGCTCTGCGACAGACTGCCCGTCCCAGCGCCTTCATCAAGGCTTCTTCGGCCTTGCGACCTGCTCAGGCCGCTTTCTCTACCACTGTTTTCCGAAAGGCCGCCGAGAACGATGGCGAGCTTCTGGCCAAGCTCGAGAGCGAGATCAAGATCGAGGAGGATATGAAGGCCGATGAGCAGGACCCTGCCAGCATCAAGGACTTCCTTAACAACAGTGCCTTTGAGCTTATCGACACTCCCGGCCAGGAGGTTGTCAAGCTGGTCCGCGACTTTGGTGAGGAGAAGTGAGTTTCTGCAATCGCAATTGGCATTGGTGGGGACCGTGACTAACACCAATTCTAGGATCACCATCAGCTTCTCTATTGCCGATATCACCAGCTATGACCCTTACGCCGAGGAGAATGGCCTCGAGGAGGAAGGTTTCGAGGATGAGGGTTCCCAGGGCAGCCAGCGCAACGCCCGCGCCAACGAGGAGCTCGAGGAGGACCTTGATGAGGATGCTGAGGAGAACGCCGCTCCTATCAACCTGTCCATCGTCGTTGAGAAGCCTGGCAAGGCCTCCGGTGCCCTCAACATTGATGCCACTGCTCAGGACGGCCACATTGTCGTCGAGAACCTCTTCTACTACGATGATGCCAAGGTCGCCAAGGTCGAGTCCCCCGAGGCCGCTCAGAAGCGTGCCGACGTCTACCCCGGACCTCCCTTCGGTAGCCTCGATGACGACCTCCAGGTCCTCATGGAGCGCTTCCTCGAGGAGCGTGGCATCACTCAGGCTCTTGCCATCTTTGTCCCTGACTATGTCGACGTCAAGGAGCAGCGTGAGTACACTCGATGGTTGAACAATGTCAAGGCTTTCATCGACGTTTAAATGTTCAATTGGGCTGGAATAATGAAAGGTTTTTCACAAGAGGGAAGAGCAGAGGAGTCTTCGGTTCAGAAATGACGTGTAAAAAAAAATAGGAATTGCCACTCTTGTTGTACGATAGTATAGGATCCATCGAGATCAATTGCATGTTAAGATATGTGTAACGATATCATGTTGACTCTACTTGATGTGTCTTTCTACCTGTGACGATGTGAATATCGGAGCCCAGTTTACAGCACTTTGATGTGAATTGGTAGCGTGGCTGATGAATGTGAATTGTGACGAGAATCTTGCTATCTAGTTCAGCAACAATCCCAAGCCTCAAAAACTCCCACAACTCCAAGTAACGAGTGCGCAAGCCCGCCATGCATCCACTATCGGGGTCTATCAACCTCTGGTAAAAAGACCGTCCCCGTGTAACTCTCTGGCGCAATAAAACTCTATCCCAGTAGTGTCATTCTGACACGGAGAAAGTCCAAAAGAAACCAACTTCGTATAAAAATTCCAACGATTGAACCTTTCGAATTCTCTTTCGATCATCCATGTTTGCAGATCAAGACCGCCTCTAAACCACGATACAAATCAAACCTTCACAAACACCCGAGGCAGAGGCTGTTTTACAGAACACCCTCGAGCGACCACTCGCCCTTCTGGGCTCTGTCGAGGACCTCCTGACCCTTATCGGTCAGGTCGGGCTTACCGTTGTTACCCGTAACATGCTTGAAGAACACAGGTTGCCATGTCTCCTTGTTGGCCTCACGTTGGCGGGCTTTCTCGCGTTGAGCTTCTTCCAGCTCGACCTTCACCTGCGTAGCCTTGCTAAATTGCTTGGCGTGGATGGCATCTGTGACACCACCCCACAGGGTCAAGGACTCGTTGGGCAGTTGCTTCTCTTTGGGAGGAACGATCTTTGGTGCAACGTTAAGGGGTGCAATATCAATGATGACAAACTGCTCCTCGACAGGGACGGATTTCTGCTATCTGTCAGTTTTGTTGAATCCCCAGAGGTACCTTCACTTACAACAGGTCTAGGGCCGAGAGTGAAAACAACCCTTTCCTTCCATGGCCCACTCAGGCGAGCGAGAACGTCCTCGTCGGGAACGTCCTGTACTCGCGACTTATCATCGTTCTCGGGGTCATACTTGAAGATGACACCATCGATCTTGTTGGTTGTGCGTCCCAGCCAACCTTCCTCCACATAGTGCAGAATAGCCTTGATCTTGGTCTTGGGGCAAGTGATGTAAGCGAACTCGCTGACTGAGACGCTCAAAGCCCCACGGAGCAGGCCACCCAAATGCGCCGCAGGGTGAGTAAGCTGGTAGGTCTCACCGTCGCGCTTGTCGAGGGTGATAAAGATACCCATGTTGTGTTCACCAGGGAGGACCTTGACAGAGGTGCCTGTGAACTTGGCGGTGATCTGATCGAAGCCTCGGGCAGTGATGCCCTTCTCGGGGCAGGTGACGTTAAAAGCGCTCACAGGAGGGTGATGTGATGTCTGTTCGGTGAGATACGAAACACGGACGAGCTTGTCGTCCGTTGTAGTGCCATGTTGAGGCACAGAAAGCGAGAGGTTTGAATTGTTCTTGCTGCTCTTAGCGGATGCCTTCAAGGCTGAAAGTCCGCCCTTGGTGCTGCCTTTCTCTTGTTTGAGGTTGGATGTGTCGATCTTTGGGGCGTTGTCTTCAGTTTCCCAATTGCACTGCACCCTAGTCAGCATCTAGGCCATTACAACTGTCGTATGTTCCCTCGTTCACGAATGAGAGCTTGGCAAAATTACACACCCTAAAGAATTCACCAAGGCATGAGTTGTAAGGTTTGCATGGCCTTCCTTTGGCGTACTTCAGGTCCTTGGTCAACCAGAAACGCACCACCTCGAGCATGCGATCAAGAGGTTCGTCCGAGGTGCCCATGGCAACGAAGGCATTGGGAGCATCGATATAGGTCCAGTATTCCAGATTCGGGGTGGGCTCGAGCAACTGCGACGGCAGTGAGAATCTGACTGCTGCAAGGTCCGAAACGCCCATGAACCTATGATTTTAATGAGCGGTCAGCATTGGAATCCATGAACAATTTCTCCTATCATCAACATCGCAAGACCGACAGTTGATCTGGCGTTGCTTCCATCGCTTACTCCGTTGTGTACGGAGCGGAGTCGGCATCCGATCTCGCTCGCTAGGGCGGTCCCTGTTTCCCCAACAAAGCGGTGGAAGCCATCACAGAATGGCACTGTCGTTGACAAAAGGTGATGAGTCTCTTACTTCTTCAAGATACCCAGAAATGTTCGCAACTTGGAGGTATCGCTCTGCTGCTCGTCAGGCGCATCGACCGTGGGTGGCGGTGCCGATGACGACATGGTTGTTGATAAGCTTGACTTGGAGAAAGAAGATGCTGAGTGCGGTAGTAGATAATGTTATGGATATTGTTTCGGTTTTGAAGCTCGACGACACGTAATAGGTGTTTGGTGCGACCGGAGTTGTAAAAACCGACAAACAAAGGGAAAATAGTCCTTAAGGATGTAGGCAAGTTTCGGGAGTGGGATGGAGGGAGGAGAAAAAATAAAGTGAGTCTTTGGGTTGCGGACTGAGTCGCAAAAGTCAAGAAAGGAAGCGGGTGGTAGTGGTGGTGACGTTTGTTTGGCGGGGTGGGTATCTGGGTTCTGGGCTCTGGATAAAATGTTAGGAACTGTTAGGTAAGGTTGGATGACTCGAGGTACCTGGCTCGACAGCTTATCCATGCGCATACAACAGGTACCGTGCGTCCTGTCGTGCTCAGGTGCATGGTAGACTTGGTGGGTAGAGCATAGAGACCCATCCATTGGAACGTGCGTCGACAACTCCGGATTGGTGGGGAGTTAAAGACAGTAGCAGTGGTATCGTTAACATCCAATTACAGTTCCTAGAAGAGACTATATATCTGGAGTGTGTAATCAATTGACTGCATGCCTATCACGTACCTGAATACTATTAACCCAATCTACTATAGATTACTGCATGGCCTTTGCTAAGATTTGTGCTACTTCAAATGTAAAGCTACAGCATATGATCGGCGCATGGATGCTGCTCAACCACCACTTGAAGCGATCCATTCTCTAGACCCTTTCATCGCGCCTGGGTAGGCTACTTTATCTCGTTAGTAGCTCCAGACCTGATTAAACCAATCATCAGCACACATGGTCATTTCGAGTCGTCCGTTGGACCGTCCATGATCTAGTTTGCATTGGAGCAGACACTGAGTTTCTTTCCACGATGCAACTGCAAACTCAAACACTCGCCAAACAACGTAAGCACGAGGGGTTGTTGAGCTAGATCAATGGTGTTAGCTTACCCTGCGAAACAGGATGCCGTGGTTCTTGTGACTTAAGCTCCCACAGTAAAATAAAACCACACGGATGCTAGTAATAACTTGAGATGGTGCCAAGTTGAACTACGACAATAGTGATCGTTTCTCGTACATATTGCCACCCAATTCAAAAGATCACAGTAATTATATCCAAATTTTTTGTTAGATTTTAAAATAGTCCGGAGACTTTTAGTCTGATTCTTGCGTTCTTTTGTGTGCAAGAATTGTGCCCGCCTAGGATATCTCAATTGCAAGTCATAATCTCAACCATCCAAAGAGGAGAAACCAATCAACTGATTGGAAACACAAAATAAACAACTTCATCAACACCGAGAAGAAATATAGGGTGTTTCGGTTCTCTCTGCGATGTCGTGGATATTATCGTCCTGCCGCTCCTGCACATATCAAAGATGTGCACTCAATAAATACAGTTGTATGCCCCAAACTCCTGGCGGAAGCCTTCTCGTGATTCTAATAAATGCAGATAAAGTGCCTCCAAGTCCTGTTTTTTCTTGGATATGTCCAAGTATGTCAAATCGCCCAAACGCCTCGGACATTAAACCACCTTGCTCTTAACGAATTGAGCGGGAAGCAGTGTCGTTGTGATAATTGAACGACTGCTAATAGGTCGCAGAAAAAAAGTATCATCAAATCATCAGGAAAAAGCTGTGCAACAGTCTGACCAGCGTCTTATTGCTGTTGGTCAGTGACCCATGGGTCGTTGATATAGGTGTCCCAGTCCTCGGTGCAGTTCTTGGTTGGCGTCGCGTAGTCTCCGTTGCCCCAGTTCATTGTATCAAGGACATCGGGGTACTTTTCGCCACCAGCACCAAGCTCAGCCTCCTCTTCTTTAAAGTACTTGGTATCGTCGCCGTAGTGGAATGACTGTTGGGCACCCCAGTTCTGGTGCTCGCCGTACAGCGCAGGGCTGAAATCATTCATGCCAACACCGTCCAAAAGCATCCTGGCCTCAGCAGGTAGCTCTGTGGTAAATGCAGAACCCTCATGGCCGAAATCCATCACAGGTTGCTGCTGAACATTTGTAAAGGTAGAGGCGCAGCGAGATTGAGGCGTCTCAGAGTGAGTGCCTGAACCAGGAGTAAGGGCTGGTGGCGATAGAGCATCGTTTCTTGACTCGGTAGGAGACAGACCCGACATTGAGTGACTGCGCTCGTCGTGTCTGGTTGGTTGTTGCTGTGCGTAGTTGACGGCCTGAAAGTTTGGATCAAAATGTTGCTCCATCGGGCTCGACACACTGTTAGTCTGTAACTGCGGTATCGAGTAGCCTGGCGTTGACCAACGGTGTGACATCGATTGGGCTTGACGCTGGGCTTGCGGGAAGAATTGTGCGAAAGTCTGGTTAATCTCGTTGTTACGCCAGTCAGCCTCAGTGGCAGAGAGAAGCTGTGACATGGCTACGCGATTGGTAAGGTAAGCGTCCACTCTCGCATTGAGCTCAGCGTTGGAAGTCTGCATGTTGGATTTGAGAAGCCGGTAGGATCGGGGGAAATCATCGTCTTCTTCCTCGTACATCTCTTCCTTCATAACGATCTCCTCTGTTATACGGAAAGCCTTGCCGGTTCGCTTCTTATGAATTTCGCTGGCCATCTTGGCGGACTGAACACGGGCTTCAATGCTTCGGTCCGCTCTTCTCGAGGCAGCGATGTATGCTCGCTCTTGATTCTCTTCATGGGATCGCTCAGTCTGGAGAGAGAGAGAGTTAGCTGGTTTATTCAAGCACAAATATATATATGCATAGAGGGGGTAAGTGCCTTTACCTTTCGCGCGGGCGCAGGCTTGGTGCTGGGGCCACCCATGTTGGCGGTGTCAAGAGATCTCTTAGGCATTTTTAGGTTATGTGGTTGGTAAAAACGTGGTAGACAAGCCGGTAAAAGTCAATGTATGTAGATGGCAAATCTGACGAATTATTTGCAAACGCGTTGATGGTTTGATTCGAGCAATGGTGTTTAGTTTATTCGACTAGACAGATTGTACAAAGCGATAAAATGATGCTTGTCGTTAATTCGTTTGTAATATTTGAAAGACGAAGCGATCGACCAAGCATGTAGAGACGCAGAATATGGCTGGCGGGAGTGTGGAAGAGAGAAGAAATACTGGTTGTTTATACGACGCAAGACGGTAGGTTGCTCCCCCGAAGATAGGTACTTATGATATGGAAGAGGGGAAAAGGTTTGTGGTGGCACCAAAGTAAGATAGCAGGTACTGCCGAAGAGAGGGCTGGGATATGGTTTGTATTATATATGGACAGGGCCAAAAAGCAAAGCCTAGGAAAGCGACATTCTTCGGCAGGTCACAGACACGGGAAAGGCATGCAGCTCGATCCAAAGTCGATCAAAGTCGTTGGATCGAGCACAGTTATGACGATCGATCTCGATCAAGAGCTCACTGTTAGCGCTAGGCTCAAGGTACAAGTACCGCCCCGTATCGACGGGAACCTAGCCTACCTAATAGCAGGGACCCGAAGAAGGAGGAGGCCCATCGAATTCAGGTAGGCAGGTTCCGCATTTCAGGATGAGCAGGGAAGGGAGTAAGAGTTTAGGAGTCTTGCCACCTATGTGCTACAACAGTACTGTTTACTGTCTATTGCCAACTGCCTACTGGATACCGGCCCGTCTCCGAGCTTCTTCTTTTTTGTGGCTGCACGACTTCTTGTCAAGACTGATAGGTACCTAACTACCTCCCAGGAATTGGATTTGTGATCCATGTGGATAGACCTTCCCCGCTCCTCGAACGCGGCCAACCACAGTGACCGGAGTTAGGGGAATGCACAGCAACGTCTCTAGTTAAGAACATACCACCTCAGGTTTTAGTAGTTGGAGGGAGTCTAGCGAATGGGCTCGGGCCCGAGTCCGAGTATGTGCGGTAGCTTCAGTTGAGTTGGTTGCAGATTTAGATGCAGGCCTGGGTTGGACTCATTATCGTCAAGTCGACTCCATTATTTCAAAAGATTTGCGTCAACCTTTCGAAAGACAGATAACATCCATCCATCCATCCATCCATCCATCCATCCAGGAACACCGGATTTATCTATTAGATCCACGAATGAGGACCCAAACACTTCGGGAATTGCATAGCCTCAGTCTTTTGAACCTGTGCCGCACTTGAAGGATCTTGAACTCTAACCTGGCGGCTGCACATGCACAGTACAAGGAAGTTAACGCCTCTGGTCAATGCTAATAAAGAACGCCAAGTTTTGAACAAAAAAAAGTTCAAAGCCCGAGCCTGCATTTGTTAGCAATTACTAAACATTTGGCAAATCCTGATGAGATTCTCCCACATTCGTGATCGCCGGCAGCGGCCAGCATGACCCTGCCAACAAGCCTGTGCCTGCCCATGCCCAAAAGGTTAACCATGCGATCCATTTCAATCTTGTCTATCTAGATTTCGGCCATGGGCTTCTATTCATCCGTCGGTCAATATTGTCCGAACAACCATGTTGTTGATCCCAGAATTCTACTCAGAAAGAACCCTTGATCTTGCCCGAGTATTGTACCCTGTCACTTTATCATGCTATTCTGATCCTACTGCAACAAGCCCTGCTTGTCTCACTCAAAAAGACTGGTCTCGCCTGATATTCATGCATCTCGTCTGCTCGTCTGCATATCAACGAGGGTCCGATGTCTGTTTGACCGACATAGCAACCAAGCTAGATGTGATGATACTCTACGTGTTGCCGTCGTGTAGCAGCTAAAACGACAATACCAGCCAGTGCCAGTTCAGGTGCTTGAGACTCTTGCCTGATGAGGGTGAGACTGGTGGAGTTTGTTTCCATTCGATGGACAAGAGTCCTGTCCTCTGCAACCCATCGATAGCGTGACGCGTGGGCTAGGTAGGCTGCTCTTTTTTAGACTAGACACTCCGTTGTCAAGACATTTTCCTTTTTCAATCCATGCTTCGACCGTCTCAGACTCAGAGATCGCGATCTCTGATAATCAACCCCAATTAGAACTAGCAAAACCTAACCAAACCAAACAGTTTTTCGTTTCAAGTAAAATTTATCGGGGTTCACTTTCTTGTCATGTCAACGATTGAGGCCTACGGACCTTTCGTTCCGTTTAATTGGGCATATGTTGTCAAGTGTCGATCTGAATGTAATAGGATGTTAGGTCGGGCACCGCATTTGTCCATGTGTATCTGCACTGTACTGTGCTGCTTCCGTTTCCTTGTTTCCGTTCTCCTTCTCCTCTTGTTTCCCTATTGGACCCTACCAGATGGTTACTTTTTGTGGTCGCCAAACCCCCAGCTTCTAGTCCCATGCTGGGCCGCCTGCATGCCTGTCTGCGCGGGAGCCCTCAGATTCTAGGTTGCGTGGCATGGTATGATTCCCTCCCAGCGTCGCAGTGCCACGGCATCGTGCGGTAAGTATAAAGCGAAGGGAAGACATACCATGGCTAGCCGTTGGTGGAACTCAATAAAAGTGAGTGCTAATTGAGGACACCAATGTGCCTGGCCATCAGCTGGAGAGCTGGGAAAGGGGAACGCGATCGGAATCAGATTGATTAATTAAGTGATCGGTTGATTGATCGTGCCTTGTACTGTACATACATTGCAGCCAGTTTTACGATCCCTTGACGCTGCAATCACATCAAGGAATCGCCAGGCGTTCGTTAGCTGCGATGGACAGCGTCTTATGGCTGAACAACTGCCGGGGGTGATAATCGCAGTAATCGGAGTCGTACCAACAAAGGCCAAACTGTGATCTAGACAGGCGGAACCCTTGACAGGGAATCGAGCTGCCCCGCCAAAACACATGGGAAAGAAGGGGACGGACGGGCCCAAGAGCAAAGCTCCTGAGACAAAGAACGGTGGGGGGATCGGATCCAAGCTACCAACCAAGTGTTTTTGATCAGGTCCAGGACCGCATTGCACAACAACTGGCACGCACACTCAATTGAGCAAGAGTGATGCTAGATACCCGTCGCCCATGACGCTGTTTTTCAGTTCCCCAAGATTAGCCACCCTCAGATCTTGGTTTCTTCTAGCGCCCGAGAAGTCTCGGAAACCCGTGGATTGACGTGAACTTGACATGCAGACAACCCAGTTCAGGTGTTGGCAATTGATGTTACGGAGCACCCGAAAGTTATACGCCAGTAAACAGTTAGAGACCCTTTGGCTTTGGCTATTCACGGTCGTCTCCGGACCCTACCTGTTAGCAGAAAATTTGAACTGAACCGAGCCGACTGGCGAAAGCGAGCTGTCGTAAAGCCATCGAATCGCCAGATCTTTGAAGAACCACCATGAGCCGGGCAAGCTAGGATCTCAATAGTGGGGAATGGGAAGTAGCCCATGGATTTACAACAAGCGCAGGGCGGGCTTTTTAGGCTTCCTACCTGCTGGGCTTTCCTTCTGGGAGAGTTTCCTTGTTAGTTAGGTGATTCCCAGAAGCTAAACAACCCTTAGGTCTCAAACTTTTACCGTAGTGACCAACCACAGCGAATGGCACCGCCCGCTCATCCCTTCTTTCTCTTCAAAAGCTCTCAGCTCATCCGATTCAGCTTTTTCTTCGATCTCTTGGAATTGTTGAATCACGATCATGAATGAATAGCATGCTTTTACAATGCAATTTTGTCCTGTCTTTGTTTTTGGTCAAAGCCGGCTTGTGATTGTGGAAGAAAGTGAAGCAAAACAAACCGAAGCGAGGCGGCCTGCCGACAAATAAAGTCATTCGCTTGATTGCAGCAATTGATAAGTTGAGGTTGTGAAATTGATCATATGTGATACATACAGTATCCATACCGATGAGTTTATAGACACCAAATCAGCTCACGGTCTGTGTGCAGCTGCATGTCTCTGCCAACGTATGGATTGGCATGCTTCTTGGCTCTGTTGATTTTATGCTTGCTTCAACTTATTGTCTTTGTCTTGACAAATCCAACGTACATCGCACCGGACCTTTTGATCCGGACCTTTGTCTCCGGTGCACATTCCCCATGTCCATGGTCCACTGAACGTGGATACTGAAAGGTACACAGAACTACAAAGCTGCTCTAACAATTTCCCCTGGTGCATGCACGACCGACCGATGATCAACGCTATTCCATATTTATACTAACGCCATCGGAACTCCGTCTTTGTGCCACGTTGTTACGCCACGCTACATATTCTCCAGTCGTCCTCACTTCGGCTCAGCCAGTACGCCACAGCTAGCCATTAGTTAGGTAGGTAGTCGATGGGAATTACATGCATCTCAGTGTAGATCCTCAAATTCCCATCTTTGCTTAACAATCGCAATTCCTCAATATGACGTTTTTATGCGATAAGACTGGCTCCCCGTGAGCTAACCCCGGCACTAGTTATCGGTAGATTCAGCAGAACCTGCCCTACAGCCGAAACGTCAAAATGATCCAAAGGCAGTGTAAAGACATCACCGTCAAGATTGGTGAGAGGCAATATGCCCCTCGTGCTCATTCGTTGCTGACAAGGATCTACCCCAGATTTCATGGACACACTTCCCAAGCTTCGATGCAAGCCCAAGGCTAATTCTCCTCGTAACGAAGCCGAGACAAATTATTCCCATTAATTCGGAGTCCCTCCGGCTCAAGGTGCGGCCGCCAATGCACTCACTACTGGGTGGCGATTTCGACAGCGGGTCTGGCTATTCTGCTCCAGCAAATGTCACCTCAAATTGCAAACAGAACCTTCAACTGAAGTGACACGAGTTGATTTGTAACGATGGGCGTTGCGCACATTGAAATCACCATGACAGCCTAAAAATGCTATCATTTGCTTTCCTGTGTCCCTGACTCGACAAGGGGCGACCTATGGCATGGCACACCTGTTGCAACCCTTTCGAGGTGTTTCGGCGAATCTGTGATGGATAGATTGGCGAGATCTGTCGTCTCAATTGAGCTTATGGTTTTTGATGATCGATTTCAACTGCATGGACCCTTAACACAACTCGTCAGTCTGTCGAAACTCTGCCAGAGACTACGAATGATGCCCCATCAATAATTTTTCAGATTGCCGCCTGTAACTTCGAGTACATGTGCCACTCGCAAGCACGGAAAAGGAAAGGAAACAATCACAAGAACGGCAGAAGATCCTGCGAGCCAATGTGTCGGAATGAAACCAGCCTATGGCTTGCTGTAGGTTGCATGGTAATCGTGTTATCCAACGCGTCACCTTCATCGTCCACTGGACGCGAAATCATGTGATCGATCTAAGTATCTCATGTGTAAGCCCCTACTTGGCCTTATTCGCCGATGTTGAACCCTTGACAAGGGCACGCATACTTGCAGCATTCAGAGTTGCTGCTCCCTGCAAACTTGCTCTGTAAGCTTCCTTATTCTCCGAGTGAGATCTTGTGTATGGCTGGAAACCTTCAACTTCGCACAGATATGCTAGCTGACGCGTCGCGCAACTTAGTGAATGGCTTGCTTCCAATGTAGATAGCTCTATCCTATCAGTGGCATGGAAAGCTCGTGTGATAGAGGATACACCAATTGTTTACTGTCAAACCCAGTAGATTCAGAATCTTTGCGGCTTGATCATGCTGATCGTATCTTTGGTCTTGTTGAAGAGGTTGCGTCTCCTAGGCCAAGGTTAATATTCCAGTTTCACATCAATGCAACCATCAGGATGCAATCAGAAAAGAAGGTGTCGGCATATCTGGCTACCGGGCTACCTACCTAAGCAACAGCCTGCACCAAAGGCCCAAGAAGAACCTCAAGCTTCAATTTTAGCCTAAAATTCGGTCAGCTCTCTAACGATATAAGAAAAGCTACCCTGTCGCACCTCCAACCCCTCACGCCGGGACTAAGGATAGTTTGACTAGCCAGCACACCCGGCAACTCTTCTTCGGACTCTGCGGCGGGGACGACAGTGTCCCTTCTCCAATGCAGGTGTTACTGGCCTGCGAGGAAGAGGGTTTATTTACAGAATTATAGTTGATGCATGACCGTTGGATGAGGAGCAAGGCGGACTTTGCCAGCCCTATCATAATAGGTTTGGCATTGGTACGACCAGTTTTACTTCCGCGTGGGCCGTGACCACTGAGAAAAGAGCCGAAGACCCTGTCTTGTTCTGACTGTCCCAACCTTTCTCATATGCAGATTCGATAGAGAATACGGGTTGGATAGCAAAAGCTCTCGAGCTTTGTTTTGCATAAACCCGATCTCAACTGCACACGATATTGAGTAAAGCTTCTGTTGCTGCCAGGGCAAAGCCCAACACCCCAAGGTGATCAGCAAGGAATTATATGGTAGGATGACTATTATGCAACAAGCAAAGGCATCGAAACCCTGATAAAGGGGTCTACTTGCCCCCCCAACAGTTGCGGGCTGGCCGACATTCCTAATCTATCACTGGCTTCATCTTTGGCGCAATTGTTAGTGATTGCGAACGATTTCCTATCCTTGTGACATCGATGCTATACGGATCAACGGGGGCCTTGTTTAAATCTAACTTGATAAGAGGTTTGCTTGATATGTTTTGAAGCCCAAGGCAGGCTTACTTGTTGGCAGCTTGTTTGATTACCCCAGGCAATGCTACACATATTGACCCGAACATTATATAGTCAAGTAGGGTAAGGAGACACAAGATGGCAACGGGCGATGGAGGCAAGGCAACAGGCGTGGCAACAAAGACAAGTCTTTTAGCATAGCACATACTAAGAAGCATATGCGATACATACGAATTGGATAATAGAAATAATGCAGTTATTTTGGCTCAAATTTGGGTATCTGTGACCACTATCTTGTAACAACGCTTTTTTTACTCCTCCATCTCATCGTCTACCTTGGCATCGTTAGACTTGCTCTTCCTCTTCTTTTCCTTCTTCTCCTTTTTATCTTTCTTGTCCTTCTTGTCCTTCTTGCTCTTCTTTTTTCCCTTCTTAACGTCGTCGCCATTATCAGCCTTATCAGCTGGCTCATCTACGTCCATCTTGTCCTCAGCAACATGGTCTTCCACGGCAGGTTCTTCGACAACAGGCTCCTCAATGACTGGCCCCTCCACAATCTCCTCAGTAGGATTGTATTTGGGCCTCACCTTCTCTGCAGTCTTGGGTCCGCGCTGCGGTAGAGTTGAGGGAATGTTGGCATCAACCTCCTTCATCCAGATCTTCCAATCTCCACGTCGAGTCTTCCACATATCACCCTTCCAGTTGCGCCAAACACTTCTGCCCATCCAGCTGTCTCGGAGCTCTGCTTCATGCCCACCAAGTCGTGCCATAAAGGCTTCCTTCATGTGGAATGGAATGCTTCGCTCTTTGCCCTTGCTAGGGACTTCGACGATAGCGTTGATTAGGTTGTGGCCAAATTGCGAAACAGCAAGCTCATGTGTGTGAGGCAAGATGGCGCTGGCGATGGACTTGTGGAAAGCAGGGTTGGAAGATGAGATGGATAGGGCGGTTGTGAGGACGGTAACGGTAGGCATAGAGGTGGTGGCTAGGCGAACGATAGTGGCCGGCTCAAGAGCAAGAAGAGATTCTTGAACACCCTTGGTGGGACCAGGGATCGAGAGGAGTGTGGTGAGGAGTTGGGCGCCATGAGACTGAATAGCGTACTCATTCTTAGACAGCTGTTGGACATCCTTCTTCTTCTGTTCCTCATCTTTCAGACCGCAAAGGAAGATGACCAAGTCGGCTGGAGTCTTGCCGCATCCCTCCTTCAGCCCCTTGTTGAGTTTCTTGATCTCATCATTGGCACCACGGGCATTACACCTTTCGAACAGTGTCTTGAGAACGTTGAGCCTGGACTTGACAACAAGTTGAGGCACGCTGGGTGCAATCTTCTCCACAGCCTGCACGAGATCGTCCTTGCTTAAACGGTTGAGCACGCGGATGGCGGCGTAGGAAGAGATATCATTTCGGACGTAACCCTCGATTCTGGGCAGGAAAATGTTTTGGTTAAGAGCCTTGAAGATCTTGCCAGGGCAATGTGTGATGAGGGTCTCAATGAGTCGTGATCCGATCAAATCGTAGATCATACCGTTGACGAACTCGGAAGCCTCTGAGGCACTGTCGTACAATGACTTAGGAGCACCGGGCAAGAGCTGGAAGAGTAAGGTTGGTTGTTCAGAGTCGGTTTTTTGCTCACTCTTGTTGAGGGTAAGGTCGAGTTCAAGCAGAAGCTGTAACGTAGGGTTTCCGATAGGATGTCTAGCGAGCACTCGCAGTGCAGTAGCATCCATTCCTGCGGTCGAGTCTTGGATAATCTTCTTGGCTGCCAGGGCGAACGAGGTAGGCACCGCTCTCAGCCCCTGGTTCGCCTCATCTGTAGCAGCAGATCCGGCAACTGAAATCTTCTCCTTCTTCTTGCTCTTGACGAGACTTCGCACTGAGGCGTCCTCTAAAGGACGACCAGCAAGTACAAGCAAGAGCACGCGCAGAGTGTGAGATGCGAATCGATCAGTGATGAGATAGGACAGAGCTCCCTCTAGCTCGTCTAGTGTTGCAAGGAAATGGTCCTCCATTGATATCTCGGGCTTTTGCATCTCTGTATCGGTGCCTTTGGTGTCAACCACGAATCCGGCAAGCTCCTGCGACACTACACCGGCAGACCTCAGGAAGAGGGCTTCGCAACAATGGCTGGCAAATCGGTGCTGAACGAGGGAGAGAAAATGACCTCCAAACGCCTCGAACAGATGCTTCTTCTGGGCGGTATTCGAGAGTTGAATGATGCGCTCCATCAATCTTGAGCAAGACTGACTGCTGGCAAGCTTGAGCTCTTTGCCCTGGGCCTCCTTGTAAACGTTTTCGAGAAAGATGTCACGGTCTTCGGCCGATGGGAATTGGTTGAGCTCCAGCAGTTCGTCGGCGCGTCGGAAATATTCTTGCTCCTCTTCAGCGAGCATACCGAAGAACTCGGTCTCGCCAATGCCGTTTTGCTGAGCATCTTGGCCATCTAGGTAGTCGTAGCCATTGTTGTTGTCATCCTCAACGGTGCGCTGGCGCTTGGTGTCGTTCTCGTACGATTCTTGCTGCTGTTCAGCCTCTTCAAGTCTCTTTCGCTTTTTATCCTCGCGGCCGACGCCACGTCTTGTTCTGGGCTTGGGCATATTGAATTGTAGGTATGAATTGGCTGGATGTCGATTTGCGCAAGTCGAGAGAAGTTTTTGCGGGGCGTTGATTGCGCAGTTGCAGAGTTGGAAACTTTTTTTATGCTTCAACGCGCTAATGATTATCGATAAGGGAGGGTCCATCACCAGCCCCACAATCAACAACACCAGTATTATATACTTCCTACCCCAACTTCTGTAAGCACAAGACAAAAGTTATGCCGGAAGCTTCATTTCATAACTGGATGATACTTATGAAAAACCGAAACAAGACATGCATAATTGAGCTCAATGCCGTACTGTACGGTACAGTACTTCCCTTCCCTGTCGATGGCCTAGGTCCAGGTTCTCTGTAAGCTACAGCCACATGAACTGATAGAGAAGCGTACATATCGTATGGACCACGTTAAAATTGGATGAATCTTTGTGAGTCACAAGAGCAAGTTCAAACTCATTATAAGTTTACTATTGGCTTATGAGTATTCTCATAGACAGCCTCGCTTTTCTCTTGAGATGACATGTCGGCTATATCCAGACCGCATTCATCTCTTCAGGCGTCAATACATCTAAAACATGCTTGCAAGCTGCCCGCACAGACATATCCAGGACTTCATCGCGCCATAGACTGCCCCACATGTTGTTGAAAAGACTAAGAAGGAATTGCCCGATCAGAGCCTACAGTTTATAGCTTATAGGTACAAGGCAGGCGGCTGACAGACCTGGCGGTATGAGGAAGGCCTGATAACGAAGAAAACCCAAGATTCTCGACCTAGGAGAAAATGGCTTGAGTGTGTTGTAGTCCTCGCTGGTTGGTATTGACGAGCTGCAGTTATAACTCGGCCTTCTTTTAGCTTTAAAGGAACTCATTGTTACACTTGTTGTACGGAACCCGAAATACAAGTAAGAGGAGAGTTGATACCAACAAACGCGAAGTGAACAACTCCTAGAAGTTCTATTATGTACCTGGCGATTTAGAGTACATTATATGTTCCATTAAATCTTTTATTCGTGCAAGTTGATTGGTCCAACAACTCAAAAGTCTGTCGTACCTTGCATCTATTAGTGGTAGGTGTTTGCAACTGGCTAGCCAGCCAGACCAGGCCAAGAAGAAGCGGAAATGAAAACAAGATGACAGTTGTTTTTCGTTAAAAAAAAACAGAAAGTGTGAGTTTGAAACATGCAGATCCGGGGCATAAACCCTTTAGTGGCGTTACAAGGATACGAGGCGATGACCTGCTCGCACAACGGCCTAGCCATGAACTACTCTGGATTACTATTTAGCTTAGCTTATCTTATTTGACATTACTATTGAAACGGGGACACAGCTGAAGAACCAGTAGTGAACTACAGAAGTAAACCACCAAGGGTCCTATGTTATGGGCAACTTCATCGCCGTGAATTGGACGGTTAGGTACTGAGCTAGGAATCGGCGGCCTCTAGACAAGCATGAACGCGCGGGTCACTTCTGTACTCCAGTACAAACCATATCTGAAGTGATTGACCAGAATTACAATTTTAACTAGAGTATGGTCCTGGATCGCCCCCGGCTACTGTGGGGCTCTGTTTTCCTTTATTCCCCTGTCAATATTACCAGGTATTGTTACATCGGCGGGCCGTCGATGATGGCCTTGAGCTAGTGTAGGAACGTATCTTGAGTAGTCTCTGCCTCGATTGCTGAACGAGAACAGCCAATTTCAAGTCAGTGCTCATTACAAGAAGATATCTCGTCAAACCAGTTGAGACTTGTAATTCATTCATAACCGGTCCTAAACACCAAAACAAGTGACATCGGTCTTTGAGGATCCGGCTGTGTGAAGGACATTCGTGAACCGAGACGCTAATAATCTTGAGGATGCCAACCGCTGATCTGTCAGTTTTTCGAAACGTACCAGGGCAAGAGAGGCTCCCCAAGCCATCATACCCCAAGCCTATTCGTCTTCCGGAGCAGACGGTGAAGCGTAGTCTATTGGATAGCTGACTTCGGTTATGCTTTGCACGGCCTTCTCCCCAGTCGATGCCCTGTCATCAAACATTGTTACTTTGCTTTTTTCCTCCTTTAACGAAGAGGTTGAAAAGGGAAGTTTAGCGAAGTGACAGGGGCGAGCTAGACTGTTGCGTGAAATGTATAAAAGCTTGAGAGTCGAAGCTCCTGTAGCAATCTGAGTAACTAACTATCTGTACACTTGCCAATTGAAACACCAAGCCCAGCCATCTATCAGTAAATAAATAGCCATGACTGCAGAGAAGGTTTCCCATCCCAAAAACACGTTGCTTGTGCCGGTTACCCCCAAGCCCAAACCCAAGTCTACACCCTCTGTCCTCATACCGGTAACAGCTCGTCGCAGCAATACCAGTGCAAGCAGAGAAAGCAGCCCAGAGCCCCCCAAGAGCGACTAAGTCGAGCCCACTCTACCAGTTTGTCTGCAATCTAGTTCCTCCCTATCCTTGGACAATCATGGAGCAACATCCAATCAATGCGGTAGAAAAGGAGAGCTTAGCAAGCAGGAACTTGACGAGGTATGTACTTGGCATGAACCAAACCTGTATTTGTACAGCAGATCTAATTGTTGAACTACAGATCATAATAAATTTACTAGATTGATTGGACGATAGCAGAACTGGTGTATTTGGGAATTATTTCAAATGAAGTGCCTGTCCTTCGAATAAGAAAGGACAAAGCATTTGGAGGAATTTAATGGGTTTAGCAATATTTATGTAGTCGATTATAAAAGTTACAATTCATTGAAAACAAGAAGTCTTCTGTTTTAAAGTTTGAGAAGTCTCAAATTGATTACATGTTGACTCAAGATATAGAGCTTGACGTGAGATGTCGCTCAATGTTTTCCCTGCAGTTTGTCGAGATAGACGCGCTACTCTCCCATGATTCGCCGATTAAACAACCACGCGGCTGTCAAGCGCAGCATGTGTTGGTTTTGTTTTTGTTTGGCGCTGGATTGGGGGAGTGGCCAGGGGCTGCGTTACAAAGCTGGTACCGTCCGAGTACGGCAAGGGGTATGGATGTGACGTGTCGGTTGGCCTCGATTTGCTGCAGGCCAGATGCATCGATGTCAGACAGAAGAGAGCGCCAGTCATGTACATCACGTTTTGTCTTTGCTTTTGTCTCGGCATAGCCCGTCTGCTCTACATGCAATGTATAGTAATTGTATGTCGAAGCTTTGGCCGACCAAGATGCATTGACAAAAGAACGAGGCACCCGCAGGATGCGGTGTGCGCAGATTGTGGGTGTGGTGTTGGTCATGGTAGAAACGAGCCTCATTGTATACCAATACGCAATTAAGGTGTGCGTGCCATGTCGGTGATGTATAATGGTCAGAAAAGATTGTAGTCGGCGTTCGAAGATAAATAGGCGCCGGAGCCTTCGTCAAATACTTTTGTCAAGCTCAATTCCAGAACAACTTCAATCAATCAATCAGCAAACACGAATATCCTTGAAGGTCTTGATAGTCCCGAACCAACATGCCTCAATCCAAGCAGCCGCGATCAGTTAATGGCGGGGTTGCGCAGCCTCAAAGCTTCGAACTTCCCATAAGAGATGAAACACTACACGTACCAGGTAATGGGTCATTGGACGTTGCAGCTTTGCTCAGGCATGCTGACCATGTGGATTTTCAATGTAGACTTAGAGGGCCAGCTGAAGGATAAACGTATGTCACTCCGTCCCTGTATTCCAGTCAATAGGTGCTCAGGTATATGACAGACGAACCAAGCGGGCGGTTTCGCCTATGTCGACAACAGCAGCGCGACACGAGGCTCATGGTACTACCCCGTTTTACGGAAATATACTCACATTGCCTCATTGATCTTGGAAGTCGAGTGTCGTCCCTCGAAGCAGAGTTAAAGAGAACAGACAAAGCCGGTGAGAGTAACTCGGAACTCTTGGACAAACTTGAGCAAACAACCTTTAGATATGGTGAGAACAGCAGCGATGCAAACTAAAAGCCCTTCGATATACTGACTGAATGGATTGTAGGCCAAATATTGCTTCAAGCACAGAAAATCCATGCCCTTGACCAACCTAACAGAAGGTTTTTGAGGAACCTTGTGACTTGGAATAGGGGTATTTTGAAGGATGATGACACCGGCTTCCTTGAAGAACCGCTTGATGACTGGGTGTCGATCAAGGACCACAATAGGCTGGATCAGTTCATTACTTTGATCCCAGCCACTAGCATTGGCAGGGTACTGGCTGTGAGTTATTCTCTGTATTGCCCGTTAAGTGATTCATAGTAACCTATGCTAGTGGCCGTTCCGATCAAACACAGAGATGGTCGGGGAAAACATGCTGGATGACTACCACGAAGGAGTGATGAAGTTTGCAATATTTACCGTTTTCAGTCTCATCCTCGGGATTTTTACCTGTGCCCCAGCCGGGATTCAGTCTTTGAATGTCGTATCGACTATTGGGGAAGTAGCGGTATATGTCGCGTTTGTGACAGTGTTTGGCTGGCTAAGCCTGGGACTGTTTCAAGGCTTCGAGAGACCGCTCTTGACTTCCCTGGCTTTTGCAGGACTCATGGCTAATCTTCTGCGTGGTAACAACTGAGCTGCTTTAGCAGGACCTTGGTGGGGAGGTGGGAGATGGAACAATAGTCAACGTATTGACTTACTCACATGTATGGGAAATCCTAGGTATTCACAGGAATCTGCTTCGACGCGACGCGTGCCCAGTGTATAGTTTCTGTTAATTATTTTGCTATCAAAAGGAAGTGAGCGTGATGTGGTGTGTTGAGTTAAGGGGCGTAGGGCAGATATTCTGCGAGAAGACGATACTGATACGAATAGGGTCGATAATAGAATAGATGAGCCATGGACTGACAAAGACCAATACTGCAAGTATGATGTTTCTGGCATGGCAGTTGTAGGAGGGCAAAGTAATGTTGAGAAAAGGAAATTGGGTGTGCAGCGTGGAAGAGGCTCTCTGGTGTGACCCTAGCAGGTAACCGGGTACCTTAAACGCTTCTATGTCACTTCCAGGCAACCGCAGCCACCACAGGCCACAAAACATGTCTTTTAACTTCAAAAACGGAACAAATAGGATTCATGACTGAAGTGAATAACCAAATGTATTTCGAGAATAGATCTGTTGACCCGTGCTCAGCAAGTTGCTAACTAGGTACCATGTTTGGACCATATCCGACCCATTCTGCTTCGATTGCTGACCCTAAGATTAGTTTACAGTATCGGCTTGGCTTCCATGATACAAGTCGAATGCTAGGTCCGAGTCAAACGGGAAATTAGATCCCACTGATATGCAGGAACTTGAAGGGGTGACAAGAAAAAACGATAGGGGCTGACACTTTTGGTAGCTTGGTCGATGCATATGTGTAGGGTCAAGTACTGATAGCCCACCAAAACAAATAGCAGTTGAAGCGATTATGCAAGAATCGCTCCGTGTTCAGTTATTATTAACCTTTGTATCAAGGGTTAGTACTGGGCCCTCCGTGTTTTTTGCACAATGGGCGGCGCGTCTCTCGTCGCTGTAGAAACTCCCCACCTGTCCTTATCTAGCAATCGCGTGTGGTCGATGGCATGACGATTTGGTATAAATTGTTTGTGTCAATCCAAATAGATAGCAAATGGCTGGTGCTAAATAATGGCTTGTACTCGGTTCATCATACTGTCGGGGTCGAGGTCGTCTCCGAAAAGTCGTGAAATCTTTGCTCCTCGTGGCGAACCAGAAACGATCATAAAACAGGGACGGAGAGGCAAACCGGCTGCCTCGTCTCGAAATTAAGCCTCGGGCCACCATCGACTTAGTATTAGCCAGCCGGTACCTGTAATAGCCAGAATTTGTACCGCGCTGTTCATTCGCCCTGTGCATGATTGCGATTCACTTCGCATTCGCCAGAATCATATCGAGAGTCAACAAATAGACGTTAGCAAGTCTGGAATACCAGCAATTTAGAAAACGACAACAACGCCCCCAATTTCAAACCGTTTGTAAGTCAAGTCTCCCAGCCTTGCAGGCCGGGTTTCCAATGTGACGCGCCCAATACATTGACCCTAGACATCCTGACCGCCTTTCACTGCAGTCCAACCTCGACCGAGATTCACAACGATGATGACCTGCATCTCGTTCATTCGATTTTTCCAGATCGTCGGGGGGATAGAGAATAGCCATGTTTGTTTTCTAAGGCAGAATTGCTTGCTTCACAATTCATTTCTCTGTGTAGTCCAAAATACTGCGTCGATGGTACGCCGAGCGTCAGAATGCGAAAATAAGCCACACACGAGGCCAACCAGTATGAATACAGCCGCGCGTGAGTTCGAGTCGCTTGCCAGCCAGCTCGGGATCGAGCCATCCATCGCACTTGCGACAGTCATGGCAGTCGGCCATGTTGTTTTCGGTTGTCTTCATCAGATGCCGGTACCCCAATGAAATGGATTGCTGAAAGATCAGTAGGAAGAATGCTGTAGGATGATCACTAGAAACTGTTTGAGTGGACGAAAGCGTGCTGGGGCGATTCGATCAGACGATGCTCATTGTGTTCAGTGTCGATGGCAAAGACTCAGTTGCTGTACGATATTCCTCAACAATGACAACTCTAGTGAGTTTAAGTCGCGTGCAGTTCCAGTATTGAGATGGAAGTTCATCTGTTCTTGACGATGGCCATTCTTCAATAATAGGGGTCGAAAACTAGGCCGAGGTTCCATCTGTCGTAACTGCCCAATACGGTGCAAATAGCGATGTCCGCTGAACCTTTCGCCTGAGTGTAGGCCAAAACAACCCAGCCAATAATGATGGCAGGAGGAACTCAACCCATCGTTCAATTAGCCAATTTCTTGCTCAGACGGGAAGCAGCAAACGGGAGATGGTCAGGTAGTTCCTGCCTACTTTTAGGATAAAGGCTTTCTCAAGAAAAGCCAGTGCTGGCGATGGAAGGAACAGCAAAGCTGAAACGAATTGGCTCGGACCGATACTGGACGGAACCTAAATCCCTCAGTAGGTTTACTGGGGATGGGACACAGAATCCAGAATGGCTACTACTCCGATCTCTACCCCAAATTCGAATTAAAACAGAAGACATACGCATACTCGAAATGGCTGATTCTTCCAATATGCTACTGGAAATATTGGAGAATAACTGCCTATCTTGCCGTGCAACCACGAAGAATGACTGCTCTAGTGAGCCAACCTTTTTGATACCCTGAGGCTGCTGTCTTATGATCTCCAAGTCAATAGTCAGGAATCTGACTGCGTCTTCGCAGCAATAGTGCAGTAAAATACAGGATTGTAATTCACGCTGTTGCTTCATATGAAGCAGATCTTCAGATGCTACCTTCATGCAGCTTCCAAAGGACAGCTTTCTGGCCTAGTCCTTGCATTGCCACAACTGGCATCACTGAAGACGGTATATCGGGGCATCCCAGCAAGCCTGGATGTCTCAGCTCAAACTGTTGTGTCGACTAACACCGAGTGCTAATTCGTCGTGATAGAGCACTTGAACCTCCCCTGAAAGCGGTATACGCGAATGGGCATTCGATCGCCAAGTATTGGTCTAATTATCCAATTCTCTACAATCTTCTATACAAAACCCTTCTTAAAAGGTTGGACAACGCGCAGCTTCGTGAATTCAAATCGAGAGTTTGGCGTTAACAACAGTTGTTGGTAAGATTGGCTGCCATCGATATGCCTCTTACCCACCCATCCATCCATCACCACTTCAGCCCCGCTGAGGCCTTCCTGTGGATGCCTTTTCCATACTCAGGTTCTGCAAATAATTAACATCTAAAGATGAGGCAGTCTTAAGCATCACAAAGAGCGGTGAATATCAATATCTGTTAGTTTTGCACATCAAAAGGCTCAGCCTCTTTCTCGTGGAAAGATGGTGTCTTCAAGGGGCCATATTCTTGCGAATCCTGGATCGGTGAAGCCAAAGGGGGAGGCATCGCCATCTTTAGTTACCCAACCAACACCCCGTGATGTTTATTGTGTCTACTATCCAATCACAAGGACAACGGTATCTGCATCTTCAAAAGTGTCATCTTCACATTTACAAGTCTTCAATAAGTACCCTACTTGTCACACGATTGTTGCAGCGGTACGGCCCGCCAGCGGCAATTTATTGGCCCTTGGGGGCCGAGAAGAAGATCTTTCTGAGGTCACACGAAGGTAGATTCTTTCATGATTCGTCTGTCAGCAACATTCATAATACGCAACGTGGTGCCACGGCTCTGTATCCCACTTGCCAGCTCATTTGAGCCTCACTGACTGGGAGGAAGGGGGAAGGCAAGGCGTCACAGCCTGATTCCGGGGCAACTCTTAGCTGCCTAAGGGGGTCTCTTCACAAACACAGAGTTGTGTTGGTCTTTGTGGTTACATTCATGACACACGCGCGGTTCTTAAGCGCGAGGCGCATGAGACTGGGAGTGCATATCTATAAAGAGATCGAAGGTGTGTCACATTAACAACCGCAATTTACCTTATTCTAATCGGCTTCTACAAATAGATGGTCTTCAGTGCCATTGGATTGATTGGGAATGTTGTATGCTCTGAGCATTCCTCTCCGAGAATAGAAAAGTGGATATTATGACAATGGCTGGAAGAGAAGCGCAGACCCCGGCCGCGTATAAGTTAGCTACGGTTATTAATGGCCAGCAAATCTAGTTTGATTGTAGAGATGAACCCATCTGGAACATATGTAGGTCTAGTTAGTTACCAACCGTACAGTGGCGTAGAGGACAATTGTAACACGTATGTAGAACACCGCTTATCGAGAACAGCTCACGATGTTATCCTTCAAGTGCAATCGAGACGCAATACACCAACAACGGCCACGCCGAGAGGCTGAGACCACAGAGCTGAAGGTAGCGCTAGAATCGCAACTAGCCCAATATGTGTTTAGTTTACCCATTTAGAGCGTTGCGGATGTAGGGCTGATGTGTTAGCTATCTAGCTAGTGATTCTCGGGTCCGAACCAACCCAGGTAGGGAAACATATCCGACACAACATCTCGTCCTTCTCATTAACCAAAACATCCACACACCGGCAATCATTTGCCGCGATGGAAGACATCGACGACTGATTTCTATTCAAGTAAATTCACGACTTCTTATCTTGCCTAGGTATGTAATGATATATTGAATCAAGCCCAGCAGCCACACCGATTATTGGTATCTGATCCAGAATGTCCTCGACCACCAGCCTGAACATTAATGCCATCAATAGCTTCTCCTAGCTGCAGGACAGCGTCATCGACAAGGCAGAAAAGCGGCCGCCACACGAAGATCGGATGGTTGATGAGGCTCAATAGACAATAACCCTGGAACTTAAACAATGCCACACAGGTAGTTATGAAATCACTAGTGTCTGATGATGACCGGCTGAAGTGAAGTGGAGATAACCTAAACTATCAAATCCTTCTTGATAAAGAGAAAAAGCAATGGAGCTTTCCCAAGAGAGTAACCCGTGGTCCTCTCCTGCGAAGCAAAAAGACAAAGCTAAAGTTTCTGAGTAAGACGGAATAAGGTTGTTTGTTGTTCTTGCAGACCTAGTTGTGAGCTACTGGTTACTGCGGCTGGCTGATGGGCATGGTAAGCCCGAAGGAGCCAGCTTTGGATAGTTAATGCTCGGTTCTGGTACAATCTTAAAGATGGTGTATTTCCTGCATGGTTGGTTCATTCACAGGATAAGAGACGAGGATCCTGTGTCTGTCTGTTCATATCATCGAGAAAGACTCTTGGAAGAACCAACCCGGCCTGTCCTTCACCATGATCAACCCAGGGGCTGGTCACTCTTCATTCCAGCTTGTCGTCAATGACAACACGACAAGTCCTCCTTACGAAGAGATCCCGTTATCAGAAGAGAAAGATCTCACACCAGCCGTTGCTCTTTTAAGTGCCCTTGGTACAACTACAAACCCACCCACTTCAATAAATGAAAATGACCCACGGGATCATTCCTCTTCTCCAGGACCTTCCTCTATACAAATCAAGGGAATCGAGGACATACCTTCAACCACGACTCGAGGATGGCGCTTTTATGGTGCTTTTGGCACGTTGTGTTTGGTCACTTTCATCATTGCTCTTGATTCGACAATCATCTGTGTTGCATTGCCGGTAGGTTCAAATCCTCAATTGAAAGCATTGTTCTACTAACACCCGTCAAAGACCATAGCAGAAGACATCGGAGCTTCAGCTATTGAAGCCTTCTGGTGCGGTACCAGTTTTCTCCTCGCCTCGACCGTCATACAACCCCCTGTCGCATCACTATCCCACATCTTTGGTAGACGACCCGCTCTCCTGGCCTCGGTGACAATATTTGCAGGTGGCAGTATAATGGCTGCTCTCGCAAAGAACGTGTCTGTGCTGCTCGGAGGTCGAACGCTTCAAGGACTCGGTTCTGGCGGCATTCTTGCTTTGACATATGTTATCGCCACGGATCTCGTGAGTCTCAGAGAGCGAGGGAAGTGGTTCGGCCTCATTTCTCTCAACTGGGCTGTTGGTAGTATTCTTGGCCCCTTAATCGGTGGCGCTCTTGTCGAAGTATCCTGGCCTTGGTTGTTTTGGATCAACTTGCCGTTTTGTGGTGTCGCTTATATCATGATTCCTATCACTATGCGCATCAAGCGAAAGGAGGATGCATCAGTTAACACCAAGATCAAAGAGTTTGACTGGATTGGAACCATCATCTTTGTTGCGTCTTTGACGAGCTTCTTAATCCCTCTCAGCTGGGGTAAGTTCACTTATCTAGCCATTGATCAATTCTGGTGTCCCTTGTTGCTGATTGATATTCATAGGCGGTATCATGTACGACTGGAGTAGTCCCAGAACTGTTATACCTCTTGTTTTTGGTATTCTCGGTCTTGTCGCCTTCGCCGTCCATATCAGGTTCTGCAGAAGATACTCTCAATGCGATCCTCTTCTTCGACCTAGTCTCTTCACATCTCTTACGGCCCTGTCCGCTTATTTTGCCACTATCATTCATGGTATCATAGTATGGTGTCTTGTTTACTATGTCCCTCTATACCACGAGATCCGAGGCTCGTCACCCATCACCGCAGGCATCGCCATCTTGCTTTTCACTGGTACGGTAGCGCCTGCTGCTGTCGTGGTTGGGTTTCTGATTGCCAAAAGTGGCGCATACAGGCCTTTCATCTGGGCTGGATGGACTCTTGTGCCTCTTGGAATGGGTTTGATGATGCTCCTTGAAAAAGACACGGAAACCTTTAGATGGGTGCTCATTTATCTCACAGGAGGACTCGGTCTGGGCATTCTCTACTCAGCCCAGGCATTTGCTGCTCAGGCTTCTGCATCCAATTCTGATCTTCCATTTGCTGCCAGTATGTACGCTTTCTGTCGCTCTCTCGGTCAGGGGATTGGCGTCGCTGTTGGCGGAGTCACTTTTCAGAATGAGTTCCGTAAGCAGGTCGAGAAAAGCCCAGACTTTGCCTTCATGGCTGATGAATGGGCCAAAGATGCACCTGCACTGGTTCAGATCATCAAGAAATCTCCTGCTAGTATGCAGCTTATGAGAGATACAATTGTCGATGGGTATATCAAGGGTCTGAAAACGGTTTGGATGGTTTTGACTCTTGTGGCTTGCATTGCACTTATAGTTTCACTTTTATGTGTCAGATCTAAGAGCTTGGACCGTAAATTTGAGACTGAGCATGAATTGGATCAGGGTGCAGGGGAGACGAGCGGCACGTTAACACCAGACACATACGTCTGATGATGAGCGTCTAAGTCTGTGATTTGTCTTTGGAAGCAACGATATTTAGCAACAGCAATTTGATATCCAAAAGAGCGTCTGAACTACCGCAAAAGTATCTAGTTGACCATATCTCACGAGTGAAATTTTGATGATTTGAACGCCTTGTGCCTCCATTGTTTGGCTTGGAAGCGTCGACAGGACATACTCATCCTCCAAATTTCACTACTGACATAGACTTGGCTTGCCTGCCAAACATCAACAAGCAACGAAGGCAAGATGGCCGAGCGGTCTAAGGCGCTGTGTTCAGGTTCGATTCGAACTAGGACGATTCGCAGTCTCGAAAGGGGCCTGGGTTCGAATCCCAGTCTTGTCAGCTTTCTTTTTATCATTCTTGACTGAATAGTACGACGTCGTTTACTCTTTTTGTTGTTGATGATGAATGAATGGTCTTGGTCATGTCTCGGATAAAGAAGCCAGTGACACTGATTAAAGATGGTGGGTGCATTTTCTCACAGTGTATTCATCAAGTACAAGCAATGGCGTCACTGATTCAGCCCAGTGCGACAAAGCTTTGAGTTTAGGCTGTTTAGTGGGTGGCTGCCATAGCTCAGGTACCGCCCCTCCAGCTCTCAGGTTAATTAGATAGTGGACGCGGCTACGCGCGCTTCGTGATCTGGACCGCGTAAATTGCCGGGGTAGGTACTAAGGTTCTATACCTAGATTCCTTTTCTGACGCCAACTCAACTGTCTTTGTCCTTCACTTACTCACATATTATCACTCACGAATGTCTTGCAATCCGCATCTGCAATGGCAACGGCCTCATCCTCTTCCAGTCTGTCGTCGCCGGCTTCTTTTGTAACCGCGCATGACGTTGCTCTCGACAAATCTACGGCCGCCAGTAGCCCCGTACAAGACAACCCTTGTCCCTATCGCGACGGGCGACAATTGCCCCGCGACTTGAAGTCGCATTGCCAGATTCTCCTTGAGGAACAACTTTGTATGTTGCGCATGTGCTGTTCCCTCGACTGAATGGTTTTTTAACATCCACTAGATACCTCCGCGATTAGTCTCCTCAACAGCATTGCCGCATCAGGCGTATCGAAACGCAAATCCACAAAGAAGCCCGTCCTTATACCTCCTCCAACTCACCTCGCCCTCATCAGCACTCTTGCGGTCCACCCTCTTCTCACTACGCGCGCAGAGAAGAAGAACCAGCTTGACGTATCCTCCTACGCCTTGGATTATTTGCGCAATATCCTCAACCTTGTTGGTCCTGTCAACGCCGATTTTAGAACAGCCTTTCAGTTCAGTTGTGTGCCGCGCGGGGCCCGCCGATGGGATCAAAACGCACATGTAAACGATAGCGACATGTCTGATGTAGATTCGAACGGTGAAGACGAACGGCTTCAAGGCAAGCTTGCAAACGATGGCAGTGTATGGAATCGTGGGCAGGACTTTTGGTCGACCATTGGCTGGGCGTTTAACTGCAGCACATTATATCCAGCAAGATGGCGCTATTGGAGAGCTTGGTTGGAATTCATGTTGGAAGTCTTGGAGGCTGACTGGAACGAACGCGAGCGACGCGATAAGGAAGCACAGCAAGCAAACGGTCCAGAGAGTGAAATGCCCCGGACGTCACGTGAGGATTCCATCATTGTCATGTATATGAAACAGCAAAACGGCAGTCAAAACGGAGCCAGAGGATTTATCAAAGCCTTGTTCGCAGACGGAAGCGAAATATCGTCATTGGCGTATCGGGAGGTATTCGACAAAGAGCCCAAAGGCCCACGCAAAGAGTCTAAGAAACGAAAGCGGGAGCAAGTGCTCGACCTGGAGAACGATAAATTCGGCGACTATTTCGATGATGAATCCATGTCTTCAGGTGTTTCTGAACCACCCACCCCTCAAAAACCCAAGGATTCGCGAAAGCTAGGGACTGCTGGAGTGCATGCGTCGGGTTTTGTCGAGTCGGTCAACATACGCCTTCGCCTTTTCAGTTTACTATCGGCAGTAACATGGTCACTGCAAAAATTGGCCGATCTCAATCGCTTATACGAAGAGTATTGTGCATCCCTGAAACGTTTACCCCTTTCCATGTTTTCTCTTTTTACTTGCCAACGACCAAACATCCTTGTCTCTGAAGCACGCATTACCATTACCAAGGAGTTATTTGACTTGTTACTGCCATCATCCTACAAACACCCTTCCAAAGTTGACAAGGAGGGCGAGGCAAAGGGGGCGTTGACCTTAGCTATGTTGGAGCATTGTTATGTCAGCCATCCAGCCAACACTGTAGCGCTGGACGATAACGCAAAACTATCTCTGGTTGTAGAAGACGCTATACAGCTGCTATGGGCATGCGATTTGATGGAGTACTCAGAAGATTTTGCAAAAGCTGTCGAGAAGGGCATCAAGGCTCGGGAAACAAAAGCAAAGAAGCGGCGCACTGGGAAAATGAAGGGCGATGAAACCGATGTCGTTGCGCAAGAGGTTCTTGGCAATTCTGGCGAAAGAATCCGGATCTTGCTTGAAGCATTGAAGCTTGACCAAGAAGAGGCGCCATGAGAACGGTTATTGCGGTTGTTCGGTATTGTACAATTTTATAGACTAACCATGTATATAGACTTGATGTCGTAATGAATGATGATACCCCATTGTTACCTCTGCGAACTTGCTTCGTGTCTGTTCTTAGTTATCGCTGTTGTACAGTATAATTACAATTGATGTGGTGCCCATATGGCTGTAAAGCTACTTGTAAAGATAAACCATACGATTAATGCCTGTTTCAACGCTTCTTAGCTGCCGGAGGAGTCCAAGCAGACGGCTGCCATGTCTCGCCTGGTGCCTTTGCCTTTGCCTTCGCCCAAGGGTCATCCTTCTTTTCAGCCTTATCTTTGATCTTTTTCGCGCTTGTATCAGCCTGGACACCCTTGCTGTCCTGTCCCAAGGAGCCGGCATTTGCTGATTGCAGCAAAGGTGCTGGGGCAGCCTGTGGTGCTTCCATAACCCGCGGCTTGGCTTCCCAACGAGCATCTGCCTCAGCAGCAAGTGTCTTCATTCTTGCCTGACGCACTACATCGCCTTGCTGTTCTTCAATTGTCGGGGGCTCCTCTCGTGTGTGTCGTAGCCATTGATGCCACATAGGGCTGACCTTTACAGATGAAAGATGGGTTGATCCTGGATATTGGACAATTCGCCGCCAGCGCTCGCGGCTCTCGGCGCCGCGCGTAAGTCGAAACTCCCAGTATGTATTCCCTTGGAGATCAAAACCTGGTGGTGTGTAAGTGAAAGAGTCATGGAGGCTGGAGAGGAAGGTAGTCAACGAACCCATGAGGAAACGCTTGCGCCATGGTAGGCGGAGAGCTTTCCACTTGTACCAGGCCCTGGTAACAGGGCCAATCTGTTTTGAGGCCATTGCGCCTGTATGCTTTCGTCTGGAGTCTCAGTGAATGTCACCAGAGAATACCTATGGAGGGGCGCAAATGATAGAAGTCTTGAGTCCATGACAAATTCTCAGCCACGTCATGATACTCCAGCCACCGCAGCCGTCACCCAGCCACCCTATATCAAGTCCACGTCATTTCTTGGTGGGTTGTATCGGCGTTGGGTGCATGCCGCCCAATCTGGCCTACCTCTTCGATTCAAGGTACTAATTCCTTGAATACCTACCTCTCACTTCGGATCCTCGGGTATTATCCTGCTCTCTCTTTCCTTCTTTCCCAGTTTCCTTGTCCGCATCTTGCACCTGAAAGCTGATCTTCCACCAAATTGCTGGAGACGGTTTCCTTTCTTTTACTGCGACTTGATACCCCTCATCACCTAATCTTGAACCTGTGCAACCATTGCGACAGCGACAGGACTGCACGGTATATACAAATCCACAACCATTCACTGCCAACTTGTACCAGCCGAAATAGAATCTTACTTACCCCGTTTCCCTCGAAGTGATTGAACTCCCACCGCTCAATAATCTAACCACAAATTCGTCATCATCATGGCGTCCGTATCGTCACTTGATAAAGACTTGCGCAAAATGCGCTTGGAGAAATACACGCCTGCTGCAGCGAACGAAGCGCGCTCATGGATTGAAGACATGCTAGGGGAGAGTCTTCCTTCGTCAGATCTGCTAGAGGGCCTCAAAGATGGAGTCGCTTTGTGCAAGTAAGTCAACCCCGGTCTTGATCATCATGAATGCGGGACTTACACAACCTTCAGGCTCGCCAATCGCGCCCTACCGCCCCCAGGACTCCGATTCAAGAAATCCGCCATGCCGTTTGTGCAAATGGAAAACATCTCGCTCTTCCTACGCGCATGCCAGTCTCCGCCGTTGAACCTTCAGCAACACGATACATTCCTGACTGTCGATTTGTTCGAGCAGAAAGATCCGGCGCAAGTCCTGCAATGCATCGGCGCATTCAGCAGAGCGGCTCATGCTGCTAATCCTCAAAACTTTCCCGTGTCGATTGGGCCCAAAAATCGGCCAGATACTGTGACACCACAAGGGACGGGCTCAAGAACCCCTACTGGAACTCGCGACCGAGGCGCATCTATCACTAGCAATAAATCGCCTGCCTTTGGACGCTCTGCTATGATGCCTCATCGAACAGGCGACTCCGGTTCTGGTAGATGGAGTCCTACCAAGAGCCCTAGGAACAGACCTGAATCTCCTAGCGCCGTTAGCAGCTGGAGCAAGAAGGAGCACGAAGGTACTACTTCACCAGCTTGGAATATTGCCCAATACGGCTATCTAGGCGGCGCCAGTCAAGGCAACTTGGGTATATCATTTGGCGGAAGGAGGCAAATCACTAACGCCAGTCCCCGCGTGCTGAACCTTGCTGACAAGGAGCGTCTTCGAAAGGAGGAGGAAGAACGTGCCCGTCTCCAAGCCGAAGAAGAAGAGAAACGTCGATTTGAGGGAGAAGAACGCGCCAGGTTGGAAGAAGAACACCAGTGGGAGGAAGAGACGGAGCAATTGCGACAGAAGGAGCGAGAAGCAGCCGAAGAGGAGAAACAACGATGGGAGGAGGAAGAAAGGCAATGGAAGTTAACAGAAGAACAAAGGCGCAGGGAGGAAGAAGAGGCCGAAGCTCGATTGGAGGCGGAGCGCAAGTCCTTAAAGTCTCGCAACGACTCCAAACTGACAGGACAATTCTTGAGTCAATATCGCGCTGAGCAAGGTGCCTCGCAGCAGGATGGCGCTTCAGAGGATGACTACAAGAATCGGGTGAAGCAACTGGAGCAGGAGTTAGAGCTCGCTCGACAGCGCGAGGCTGAGTATGAGCGAGAGCGTCAAGAGCGAGCTCCTCGTCAGGGAAGCGCTGAGGCTAAGCCTACTCCTAAGCCCAAGCCTAAGCTGATATCCAGTCCCCCAACTCGCTCTGATTCGTGGTCTAAGGATGAGCGAGAGGTCCTCCGCACTCGTTCTCCTTTCAGTAGGGAGCCTATGCAAGCAAGCACACCCCCTGTGTTGCCTTCGAGGTCCCTTCGTCCTCTTCCTGACCCGACTGCCCTGCCACAGGCAAAATCACCAAAACCCGGCAGCCGCCCTCTTCCTGATCCTGCGGCATACGCATCCAAGCCTGCCCCTTCACATGCTCCTTCAACTCGCACCGATCGCTTCTTGTCCAGAAATCCAGCTCCTTCGCAACCAACGGCCCAGGCTACATACTCCCGCGAGCTCGGCGCCACGGCTGAGCAAGATGCTGAGGACCGACGCCGTGCCGAAAGCCAAGACAAGACCAAAGCTGGCGGATGGGCGTCAAAGTCACTCCTAGAGCGTGAGATGGAAATGGAACGACAACGGCAGCGTGAGTGGGAAGAGTCACAGAAGGAAACTGCTGCGGCAGTTCGTTCCAACGAAGGAGTCGACGGTATTGGTGGCGGAATTGGTGGTCGCTGGGATGTTGGACAATGGGCCGGTTATACTGGTGGTGATAGCCAGAACAAAGGATCGATAGGTATAGGGGCTGGACGAAGGCAAATCGTAGGCCCTCGACCACTACCTGAGCAACCGAGGTAAGATGACGATAGATACATAGAATCATGTCATTGTTATAGTTCAGTGGTCAACGTCGTAAATTCGGAAAGCCAAGTGTATCTCGGTCTGCTATCATAACATGTGTGACCGCATGACGGAAGGCCACTATGATTTATGATCAGAGAATCTTCAACGAAAAAAAAACATGACTGTAATATCTTTAGTGCGTCAATATAAAGATACATTATTTCGTGTGCTGAAGCCTCGCTTATACATAGCTTCGGTATATAATATCAAATGACACCCTTCATCCCCATCCTTGTTACATGATCAACATAAATATGTCGAGAAATCGGTATGGAAAATTCACCCATTTTATCTAAATCCAACCCTAAAAGGGACAACACCACCCGCTCCTTGCTTGTGTAAAGCCAATCGTCATCATCATCATCATAAGCACTCAAGCCTGTTTCTCCTCTCCTAAAGCTGCTGCCTCGTCGCGACATCGCTTGCACATACACCATCCCCCCAAGCTGCCCTTTGCCCATTCCCTTCGTTGTTGCACGGGTAGGTTGACGTCGCAGTAGTGGTTGAGAATTTCTTCGCCCTTCTTGATACCTCCTGGACCACCACCAATCACGCGCTCCTTTCTGGCTTCGAGGACCATGCGGCCGCCCCATTCCCAGGTGACGTTGGGATCACAGTCGTGGTTTGCGAGACACCAGTAAGGGTGCACAGCGGCGACATCGGGTCGACCATCTCTGGGATTTTTGCGAGCAGAAGCGGTACCGCGGAATTTGGCGTATAGCGTATTCATCACCCAGAGATCGTACTCGTGGAGATTTTGGTAGATATCGATATCCATCTTCTCAAGAACGTGGAGTGGCGTCTCGATATTGTATTTGAAAGAGAAAGGAAGTGTCCATTCGGGTGGTGGGCCAGCATTTGGTGAGACGTTGATGTCGTTGGTTCGAGTCGGGACAAAGTCACCCCAGATGTACTTGACCTCTCGGACATCTAGGGGGTTAACCTCCTCGTGAGCTGCGATCGCTAGGACTCTAGAAAGGAGCAAAAGGTAAAGTGTGTGGTCTGCTTCGAATGCATCGGGGTCCTTGGCAATAGCATCGACGTCCTTTTCGCAAACAGCAGGGTGGTATCGCTCCATGGCCTGGTCGAAACAGTACTGTGTGCAGAAGACGGTATCGTAGCATTCAGGACAGCTGACAGGTTCGTTCTCACTGCCTAAAGGTGGTAGATCAGAACTGCAGGCGTCGCAGATAGAGTCCTTCAGTCGGTTGTTGGCGGTAAGGAGCGAGTATTCCTTGAGTACAGCTTCACCAGGAGCTATATCCTCCTTGGCGAAAACGCCGAGCTGTTTACATGTTGGAATGATTTCGTAATCGTCGGTGCTGCTGGCTCCCTCTAATAGTACAGGCAGAGTAGCGACTTCGACTGCACACTTGGGGGCCATGCCGCTCAGGTGCTCATTTAGTTCGGCCAGCGATTCCGGGGCAAAACGATCAGGCTCATGGTCATTCCAGGGGTAGACCTCACGGCGGACAAGGCCTTGATCGGGGAGGTTGGGGTAGTCAATGTCAATGTCATCGCGGCGGAGTCTTCGACGGGCGACAGTGACAATGTTGCTCTTCGTGTCGAGCAGTTCTTGATTCGATGGTGATAGTCGGAGACCCCGCTGACAAAAACTGGCAGCACTTTGTAGTGAACCGCAAAGCAAAAGGCCAAGTGAAATAATCTGATATGCACGAACTTGAGCCAGAATGGCTAAACGTTTAACCGCTTCGTCCTCTATCTCGGAGTCAGCTTCAGTGGCCTGAATATCATCCTGTGGCAAGTTGCCGTGGGCTAGAACGTCTGGAAGTGGGACTGCGGTATGCATCTGCAGAGACTCAAAAGCCTGCTCATGGTACTCGAACCCCTCGTTGAGGACCTCATCTGCAAGGGTGAGTGCGCGGTATGCATCACCAGCTGCGAGGTCCGGATATCCTAGATCTGAGTGGACAGTTGCCCTGTCGAGATAGAGTATCAGGTCATAAGGCAGGCTGGAAAGCCCCTCTGTAAGCTGCGATCGCCTATCCAAAAGCTTTTCGTTCCGAGCTGCCGGGTCCATGTTGGGAAATTGTGTTCGCTCGCGAACTGCACAATGATAAGTTGAGGAAGGAAGATGAGTAGAGGAGTGAAAGGAAAAGTTGAACTAATGGATTTAGGCCAAGACCCGGCTGCGGACCCTATAAATCACAATTTGGGGCCGGCAGAAATCGGCAAAGAAGGCAGTTGTATTAGATAATGGAGGAAGGAGTGTGGCAGAGAGATAGAGAGGCCTAGAAATGACGACAATCGAATAGAACAAGAATTCGGGGACACGGCTGTTCTTCCAAGACAAGATAGAGGCTTGATATTAGTGTTAGGCCTGTTGTGCA